GATACCATGTAAGAAATAGAGTTGAAATGATTGATTAGGTAAGGAGCCCTAGGCTCTATAAGTACATGGCAAGGTAAAGGAGAATGGATGAAGGGGGAATTGGAGGGAATCCCCATTGGGATTTCCGGAATCTCCAATTGGGTAATTGGAGTTGGGGGGATCACAATTGGGTGAGGTTGGGATTTGTGAGTACACCCCAATCCACTAGAACATTCATAACCTAAACTAGGATATAAAAGTACAAATACAAAAGTTGTATTTGCAGTCTATTTCTAAGAATTCCACCTCCCACTCTCTCATTCCGCCTTATCCTCCCTCGTGCCGCCTTTGTCTATCTCACTCGGCCTTCTCCCCTCTGATTCGGACTTCTCGCCACTCATTTCTTTTCCCCTTGTCTTGGCTCCCCCTCTCTCATTCCAATTTCCCCTCCCTCTCATCCGGACCTCCCCTCCCTCTCTTTCCCATTTCCCCTCCCTCTCATTCGGACCTCCCCTCCCTCTCATTCCGATTTCCCCTTCCTCTCATTCCGACTTCCCCTCATTCATTCCGATTTCCCCTCCCTCTCAGTAGAACTTCCCCTCCCTCTCATTCCGAGTTCCCCTCATTTCAATCTGATTTCCACTCTCCGATTCCACCTCCCCCCTCTCAATCCACCTCCCCCCACTATTTCCGCATTCCTCCTCTATATCCGCACTCCCCCGTGCGGATTCCACATTTCTCTCCTCATTCCCCTATTTCCCCTCCAGTGCCGCATTTCCCCGCTCTTCCCACATTTCTCCTCTTGTGCCGCATTTCGCCGCACCTTACTCGCATTTTCCCTATCATTTCGCATTTCCCTTCTCGTTCTGCATTTACCATCTCACTCCGCATTTCACAAGCTATGCCGCCGTCACTACCAAAGTAGAGGCCTGCAGAAATGGTTGCCACTCGCACCGCCCTGTTTCTGTACGAGCTACAGTGGTGGCCTCGCTGGCAATCTGGCTTGTGGTTTTCACATCCCAAAAATTTGGGTGGCAAAATGATACCCCCAAGACTGCCGCAAGTAACCTAAGGGCCTCGCCCAGGGGGGTAACCCTGGGGCTTCCGACTGGGTGACCTCGGGGAAATCGACTGTCCAAATGCCTTTCGTTGTGACCCGTGGGAAACCCACGATGTCACACCTTTCCGAAACCTTTGGGTTACCCTCAAGTGACATCAGGGCTAGGTGGGGGGAACGTGAGGGCATCATTTTTCCGAGGCGCGTCCTTAATACATGCCACTCGATACGCGTACAGTAACTTATAAAACACCTGAAAAGTAATAATATGCTCTCATACATAAATTATATTGGTTAATCCCATTCGCGTTCTTCTCCAATGCTCATTCGCCAATAGCAAAACCGACAGAGTTTACAGGTTTACAGCCAACAAATATTGATAATACATACACTATTTTAGTCAACAGATTTACAGCATTTCAGTGTTCAATTTTCCTACCTGTTATTGATAATACATACACCTCAAATATTTCAGACTGGAACGAATGGTTCGTAACTCCGTAGAGGTGACACTCACCAATCTGAGTACACATAACCTGCACATTAAGGATGGAAACAGAAAGCAACAAGCAAAACTGCTCAAAAGGAAAAAAGATAGGGAGTAAAAAGAAACAGAACCAGAGTAACGATTCTTACAGTTTGGCAGCCAGAGCCCGGTCCAGAGAAACGCTTCACAAAAAGAGTGTTGGCGGGACACAACCCGAACCCCTCTGTACAGCTACGGCAGGATAAGAGACATCACAAGATGGCACAGCTGCTGTGATGAAACAAGACGAAAAAACAGGCATACATAGGTATGCAGTGGTACCCTTCAACGTAAATGGCAGTGAGCCACTGTCGGAAACACGACTAGTATCAGCCAAATTAATCACCTGAACATCAAAGGAAAACAGCACAGGTCCAAATTTGTGGAACAACTTATGCCTTCGTCCTGGAAAAATGAAAAGCGGGAAGACACAGTTTGAAGTGACAAAACGCCGTAACCCGAATGCCAACGTCCAACCAAATACCAGGCAAGAATGGGAGTTGCGAACGAGACAAAACCATAAATGGGGAATCTAACATTTGCACCAGACTCGGGTACGGGTGTATGCGCAGCGTTGTACCTTGGGTATTTGCACAGGTACGACATCGATGAGGTGACCGTCCGAGGGCCGCGGGCTTGGGTACCTGAGATAAACATAGAAGGGGGTATAGCGTTCATTCAAGAATTGCGGCTAACTGGCATGTGTTGAAAGGAATTGAAAAGCAGGGATGCTAACACACAGTGACGCACTTCACTCTAACTATTTCACACTAGCTATGAAAGGTACATCTCAAAGGAAGAAGTGGAACCTGGCGTGCGAAACAATGAAAGATCGGGTTTAGGGTTGAGTTCAGTTTATGTCCAGTGCTAGCAGCCACAACGGAGAGCTTGGGTTTGGGGTCGTATTCCGTGATTCGAGTTTGTGAGTTCGTTGTGTTGTGCTGTCCGTTGAACATCGTGTTTCTGTGGGTATATTGAGCCGACATTGCCTTGCAATATTCTCCCAATGCCTTCTGATTTCGACTTTCAGATTAAACATTCTTATGTGAAACCGTCCTGAAGAACACGCCCCACCTTTTCGTTCCTTCCTTACCCAGTCAGGTGGTTTCGCTTGAGTTTTCAACACACGAATCGGTGAAAAACGCTGGTGTGCTCTCATTGGTCAGCCTTTCGAAGACCTTACCCAGCAATATCGTACGCATAAAAGCGGCCCCGTCTAGAGTCATACAAGCTCTTTGATTTACGTCAAACTAGTTTTTCACTTCGCTCTACAAACATGAATGCAATTGGCGGCCAAACCAGCACGGATCCAGGCCTGGCTTTGCATCTTGCTATTGGTCAGCACGAACTGATGGTTTGGGCCGAACCATCGAGTCCAAAACCATCTTGGTAAGCAGCTCCTGATTGGTTGTCAAGTTTTTTAGCGAGAGGTTGCGAATTGTTTTGCCGAGGTAACAGTTTCGCCTTGCGCACATGTTTCTCCAGGCACACTTGTGGGGATCAATGGGGCAACTTGACGTAGGACACCTGTGGGTATCCCTCCTCCCCAAGGCCATTTTGCCTTTGCCGAATTTTGGGAAGCAGTACGCCAACTATGGTTTCCCCTAGTATCTCAGACAGTATGAGTCTCGATGCCTTGGTATTTTCGGAGGAGTGGCGATGGGGAGAGGTGTGGACGAGTTTCAGTTCTGCCGACAAATTCGACCCAGTTTAGCAACTCTGGAAGGCAGAGTGGTTTCGGACGGTGCAAGTGGTTTGTGATTGCGTTCCCCTCCCACTGCTCGTTAAGTGCACGTGCTGAGAACTTCCAGGGTTAGCTAGTGACAGCGTGCTGGCGATTTCCGTGTCTTCGCGACCCTGAGTTTGCTTTCGTAAATTGTTTTCGCAAGCCTGGGGGATTTGCCAACTTCCCAAACCTCGTCCCTACCTTTTGCCAAGCCTCAACCAGCGTTGACCTGACTCGTTTTTCTAATCTGGGGACCTAGGCTTTAAGGGTGATTGTGGGCTTCGAGTCTGGAATTCAGGTTTCGGAACATTTCCGGGTGGCGAACGCGGGGATCTGAATAATTTAGACGTTAACATTTCCACCACACCAATGCCCGTGTCAAATCTGAAGCCCCGTGCCCCCAGAGAGCGAATCCTGAGGGGCACAATGGTCCATACATGGGTTCCCTCGATCAGGGAACCCTCCGGTACAGTACAAAGTCCAGGTCCCATTCGACACACCCAAATTCCGCTATGCGTCTTTTAGTGGATTGAGGAATGAATTCGCCTTTCGACACCCTCACTTAGCGAATAGTTGCGTTTCTCGTCGTTGCACCACTCAAATGTGACCTTGTACCGCATACTCAGCCGCATCATACGGCTCACACACCCAACGTGTTTCGAGGCCCACACAAAAATCAGTCGTCAATCCAACTAGTTGGGACATTGCATTACTCAAAACGCAGTGCTTTTGAAGTCGAGGTTCAACACAAAACAAGCCGCCATCATACCACGATAAAACGCATGAAACCGCGTGTTTATTCTCTACACCGCTTGACACCCATTTTCACTTTCAAGCGTGAGTCTCGGGAACCCTTGATTTCTTCACAGCGCACCTCGCGCGCTGAAAGCCCAGCCACATCTGCTCCAACGAATGCTCTTCGCTAGAGCATAAAGCAGAGCCCTGTTCTGCTCGTTACATCAGACAAGCACGTCAACACATATTGTCGAGAAACACCTGACCTTTCTACTTCTCTCTTCCGCTGAGTAATCCTCTCAAAGACTTCGAGCTTCTCTCCCTCTTCACTCGTTCCCTCGAGATCGTATTTCCCTCATTTTCCAAGCGCGAGGCATGGCGTCATGGTGGAACCAGCTGACAATTCTCGGCATTTGCGCGCTAGTCACGGTGCTCGTCGCGCCGGCAGCGGCGAAGCGGCCCAGCAAGGAAGAGGTGATCGCCGAGGTCAAGAGAGCGCGCGACGCACTCTAGAACCCCGAGATCTCCGACAAATACCGGATAACCACCACTTTCCTCAACCACTTCATCCCAAAATTGGGTAAGTTTGCATGAAAGATCTCTGTAAAAAGATGACTTTTGAGTCGACTCAAAAGGCATGTCGTTACAATGTCACACGGAACTTTCGCTTCAAGAAGAACCATTCTCGCTAGGAGGCTGCCGGAGAGAGTTGGGAATTTTTTAATTTTCTCTCATAAATGTTAAAACTACTGTAGCTTTTTACTCTTCGTTCTATCTTTATTTTCCTTTGCCTTGTCGCGACCCTGCAGAGGAATGCCTCGCGAGGAGTCCTCGAGCTTGGTATTGATAGGTTAGCTGGCTTGCTTTTTTCTTTGTGGTCTGAAGAAGGCTCTCGAGCCGAAACTGGTTACCATCAATTTTCACAAAAGAGATTTCAAGCAAGCTCTCTACTAACTTTTTACTTAAAGCCGTTGACCCAAATTGCAGAAAATTTATTTCAAGTTTATTAATCTTGAAACCTCCCGATTGGTAACCCAGTTCCTCGGAGCGAGAGCAAAAACGAAAGTTGCGCAACAAAACGACGCAAAACAGTCTGTAATCTTGCGCCACCCCGAGCTGATTATGTCCCTGCCCCCGCCACACCAGGCGTTTGAGCGGTAAGAAACTTGAACTTCATCCCATACATTTTGGGACTTTTTGAAGTTCGATCTGCTTGGTGCGAGAGTGGAACACAGGATCCTTGGTGAAATGAATGGCACTCTGGTTGTCACACCACAGGGTGGGCGACTGCTGGGGGTAGCCTAACTCAGCGAGGAGAAAGGAGAGCCAGCGTGCCTCTTGAGCAGCCATTGTGCCCGCGTAGAGCTCGGCCTCGCAGGACGACAGGGAGACTACAGAGGACCGAGTGGAGCGCCAGCTGATGACTCCGCTACCAAGGGTGAAGCAGTACCCTTGGGAGGAGCGTCTGTCAGTCTGGTCATCGGCCCATGAGGAGTCTGTGTATCCCTCGAGCTTGACTGGAGAGGTACCACCAAGAGTGAGGATGTGAGACTTGGTGGCTTGTAGATAGCGGAGGACCCTTTTCGCTGCAGACCAATGCGAGGCAGTGTAGCGTCCGGGGGAGACGTACCGAGAGAGGACACTAACCGGGTATGCCAAGTCTGGTCGAGTGCACATCATGGCATACATGAGTGAACCGACTAGCTCAGGGTACGGGTCCTTGCAGGCGTCAGGAGAAGGAACTGGAGGGGCCGTAAGCTGATGCTGTAGTGAGAGTGGAGTGGAGACAGAGTTACTGGAGTCCATGTCGAACCGCTTGAGAAGGTTGTCGATGTAGGACTCCTGGGAGAGGGTGATCGTGCAAGCCTGGCGGTCACGAGTGATCTCCATCCCCAGGTAGTTCTTGAGGTCACCAAGATCCTTCATGAGAAGGGCGGAGCTGAGAGCAGACTGGACAGCTGCCATGTCGGCTGGATCTCTGGTGGCTAGAATGAAGTCGTCGACGTAGACGAGGATGTAGAAGGGCTCGGAGGAGTGACGAACGAAGAGACTGGAATCTGAGGCAGAGGGATGGAAGTCAAGTGCGAGAAGGACTTCCTTCACCTTGTTGTGCCACTCACGAGGAGCCTGCTTGAGGCCATACACTGGGCGCTTCAGCTTCCACACTGTGTTGGCAGGGTAAGTGCCAGGAAACCCCGGTGGGCATTCCATGTGAACATCCTCCTTGAGCTGGCCTTGGAGAAAGGCAGAGGAGGCGTCCATGGACTTGATCTCGAAGTTGCCGCGAGCGGCTATATCAAGAAGAGTGCGCACAGTCGGGAGCTTGGCCGTGGGCGAGAATGTTTCGAAGAAGTCGAGATACTCCTTCTGGGTGAAACCCTTCGCCACGTATCGTGCCTTGAACAGTGGAGCTTTGCCTGGGAGTTGTTTGACTCGGAAGATCCATTTTCCGCCGACGATGTTGACACTGGAAGGGGGAACAACATCGTCAAAGCTGTTGTTGCGAATGAACGCCTCGTTCTCCACATCCATTGCTGCCTTCCACTCCTTCTTATAAGGCCCCGAGAGAGCTTCCTCTTTTGTGCAAGGAGTCGGCATGGTCGGGTTCTCGGTGAAGTTTGAGGGAAGGGCAGTCAGTAATGTCTGTTGGTTAGAGAAGGCTATAAGCAGATGATTCAATGGCTCCTTGGAAATTTCTGCAGCACTTCGTTATGACGCCTAGAAAACTCGCGACCTTCGAAAAGCTATATCCAAAACTCCAATCGATGAAACGATCTGAAAATCGGATATGTTGTAGCTTGCAGCGTCAGCTTTCTACTGAAAGTTGAATCACTCGATTCCGTAGCTTAACGAGTGAGCTATGGCGTTTGGCGCACTGGGGGGTAATCTGCCCTAGGAGAAATTGACAGTCCTCAGAGTCACTATAATTGAAGCTTACAAGTTCAGAGGCATGATGGAAAAGACATTGAAGCACAGTTGGAAGGTGGGGTAGGAAGAGAAGGATAAAAGGGAAGGACCCTGGAGGCCCTTGCCCAAGAACATGACAAGAGTCAAAGTCTTGACTCCCCATCCTCAGGTTCAACCAGCCTGGCAAGACAAAATTCACACTGTGCCAGGTTGGCCTCCAAACCCCAAATGCTGCAGCTGCAAGGTGAGGACAAAAGTCCCACACATGCTGGTCCCTCCTCGTTATAGGGCTCTCCAACTTTGGTGTAGCAGCTGCCAAGGACTTCCAATGAGTTGTAACAAATCCATCAAACATTTCTTCGTAACTTCTTCATATGTGCTCCGATTCCAACAATTCTTGGCTCGTTGGAATGCGATCGATCTGATGTACAATCCAAGCACATCTGCCCAAGCACAAGATGAACATGCAAAGACATGCAAACCCAACAAACCATACAAACGACGTAGCACACAAAACACATGCAACGAAATGATGCGAACAGACGACAGGATGACGTGCAAACGAATATGCACCAACACACTCCCCCTCAGACTGTCGGCTTGTTTTGCCGTCTCTAGTTCAAGGACATTCCCGCCATCCTCGCACAGCGCCAGTGTGGCTCTTCAGCTAGCCGCTTGGTAAGGAAGTCGGCTGGCTGTTGCTGAGTTTTCACGTAGATCGGATCCAGTGTCCCAAGCTTCACCTCCTTCCGCAGCCAATGCCACTTGATCCTCATGTGCTTGTTCAACCCATGAAGAACTGCATTGCGTGCCATGGCAATGGCTCCCTTGCTGTCACTGAACAGAGGTGTCGCGCAAGTCTGTTCATGGTCGATCTCCTTCAAGAGCCTCCTTAGCCAAATGATTTCTTTTGCCGCATGAAACATCGCCATGTACTCAGATTCCACTGAAGAAAGTGCCGTCTCAGACTGCTTCTTGGACCTCCAACTTACAGGCCCACCTCCCACCATGCAGATGTATCCACCAACTGATGATGAATCCTCATGCTCAGAAGCCCATGTGGCATCAGCAAAACAGGAAAGGAACACCTTTCCTTCTCCGAGCTGCTCCCCCTTCTCTTTGAGGACTTCAACTCCTTTTAGACTGATTTTGCACTACTCGAGCCAGCTGTCCCACAGCAAAGCTGATGTCAGGCCGAGTATGCACAGCAGCGTAGAGTAGGCTCCCGACCATGGATTGGAATTGCCTCTGGTCTTCACTCTCAACTCCTTCTCCTTCAGCTGCCTTTATGAGTTTGAACTCGGAAGGCAAAGGTGTGACCACTTCCCGTTCTTCCTGCAGAGAGTACTTCTCAGCCAAGGTATTGATGTACTGTCCCTGATGCAGTTTGAGCCAGCCACGTTCAGTATCCCGCTCAATGTGCATTCCCAGGTAGTATCTTGCCTCTCCAAGTGACTTGCACTTGAACTGCTCTGTGAGCTTCCGCTGCACCCCATCGATCTCCTTGTCACTGCTGCTGAAGAGCAGGATGTCATCCACGTACACCAGCAGAAGCACAAGTGACTCCCCCTCGCCCATCAGGAATAGGCTCTTGTCGCATGCACTCGCACGGAATCCAATCCCTTCCAGTGCACTGGCCAGCCTGTTGTACCAGCATCTCGGGGCCTGCTTCAAGCCATAGATGGCCTTGTTAAGTTTGCAGACACGACTGGTTCTATCCTCATAGCCAGGTGGTTGAACCATGTACACCTCCTCTTCCACAATGCCGTACAGAAAAGCGGTTACGATGTCCATCTGCTTCACCTTCCATTTGCGCACAGCAGCTACCGTCAGCAGCACACGTAGCGTTGGAGACTTAGCAGTTGGGGCAAACACTTCTTTGTAATCTTCCTTCTCTTTCTGCTGAAACCCCTTTGCCACCAGCCTGCTCTTGTAAACTGATGGCTCTCCTTTCTCATCCGTCTTGATTTTTGCCAGCCACTTGCACTGTATTGCCTTCTTCCCATTTGGCAAGTACACCAGGTCCCATGTGTGATTCTCCATCTGGCTGTTGTACTCTGCATCTCTTGAAACGAGCCACTTCCCCCGTTGAGGCCCGGCTAGCGCATGATCCATGCTCGGAGGTTGTATTGGTGCGTAAAAGCAGTATGCAGGCTCCTCGTCATCTGACTCTTGGTCATCACCCAAGAACAGCACTGCATCTTCGCCTTGAGCCTGTTCCTGGTGCTCAGTTGTGGCTCCTCCACTTCTAGAGCTCAGCAGCTTTCTCGTTGCCATTCTGGTACGTGCAGGGTAGATGGTTGGATTTACCCATTCTTTCACCTTCACCCAATCCTTTGTCCCCCCACCAATCTGTTTCCTTCGCTTTGGCAGACTTGGTGTTTTGGAAGCCTCTTGCTGCTGCTGCTCCGGATCCTTGACTTCAGCATCAGCTGCAATATCCTCATTGCTTCCTTCATCAGTACCGCTTGCCGTTGGCGCAGTGACTTCGCTGTCCTCAGGTTCGGACAAATCGAAGTGCATAGTGATCTCTTCCAGCTGCTGGGTGACCCTTGCCTCCGGCTGCTTCTCCCACTTGCCATACATGATGTTCTCCACAAATTTGACATCCCAACTGTCAAACAGCACATTCTTTGAGGTCTCCCAGAGTAGCCACCCCTTGCTCTCTGCCGCAAGCCCAAGGTGCACACACCACAGTGCAGATGCTCCAAGCTTTGTCCTGTGCGGTTTAGGGACATGCGCCACTGCCATGCATCCGAACACTCTGAGCATGTCCACTGGAGGCTCCTTTCCAAGCCACCTCTCCAGCGGCACCCACATATCATCAGCCACCTTTGTGAGTACGCGGTTCCTTGCCACTGTAGCATGCCTCACCGCATGAGGCCACATGGAGTTCCCCAGCCCTGATTCGATCAGCAGCGCTCGCGCAGTTTCCAGGATGGTCCTATTAGCCCTCTCAGCAACGCCATTTGACTGAGGGGTATAGGACGTCGTTAGCTGATGCTCAATGCCTTGTTTCTTGAGCCACGCAGTCAGATCTCCTCCTAGAAACTCTCCACCTCGGTCGGTTCTGATGCTCTTGCATGGGTGCCCAGATTGTCGCTCGACGAACGGCAGCCAGTCATCTTGTATTGTTGAGGCAGCATGATCCTTCTGCTTCAACGGGTATGCCCACATCAGCCGACTCCAGTCATCAACTATTGTCAGGAAGTACCTTTCCCCCTTACTTCCTCGAACTGGAAAAGGTCCTACCAGGTCCATGTGCACCAGTTCCAGTGCTGCCTTGCTTTTCCCAGCTACACCGTGAAAGGGGAACCGTGTGAACTTGCTCAGCAGACGCGTCTCGCACTTGGTATCATTTGGTTGCCCAGACAGCTTCAGCCCCTTTACTGCTCCTTCCTTATGCAGTTGCTGCAGCAATGGCATAGCCACATGCCCCAGACGCCTGTGTGCGGTTTCCCAATCAGTCTCCCCCGACCTTGCAGAAACCGTCACTCCTGCAGCACTAACTGCCTTGCACTCCCCCTGGACTCCAGATCCCGCCTTTACTATTCCCAACTCCTTCTTTGTTGATTCCCATATCAGTGCAGGGATCTGCCACATGGATCTGAAGACATCTCTGCTTTCGTGTAAATCCCATAACACACGATCTCCTCGCAGCCCCTTGAATGTTTTGGATCCGTTGGTGGTGGTGCTGACTCCGGCCTGGCCCCTTCAGCCCTGGTACAAGTAACACGTCCTACAGCACAACCAGTCCACCATCAGGTGCTCTGAATGCAGCTCGACCAACTCCAGCGACCTTCACTGCATGTCCGGATGCTGAGCGCACTTCAGAGATTGGAGGCACTCGCACAGCATCCAGCAAGTCCTTGCATGGTGTCATTGTTCCTGCAGCACCAGAGTCCATGACCCACATGTCAAGCGGGTGCAATTCCTCTCCAGCCCTTGCAACAGCTGTGCCACTGTCATCTTTGTCACACACATGGTAGAACTGTCCAGCATTCCTCTCCTCATTTCCCATTCCTCTGTCATTCTTAGAGGTTTCTTCAGCAGGATCAGCTACCATGTTGGCACCTCCATGTGGTTGCTTTCCTCCATTCCCCTTTTGCGATTGGTTCCAAGGGGTCCACCAGTCGGGCTTGGTAGAGCAGCGAAACCATGGATGCCCTTCTTCCTTGCAATACCAGCACTCTCCCCTCAAGCGTGGTTCACTGTTGTCATTGTTGGAGTGACCACCTCTTCCTCTTGCACCAGCGCCACCACGCCCCCGCTGGTTCCAAGTCCCGCGGCCACCTTGGCTGTAGTGAGAGCGACCGCGATTGCCACGCCCTCGATCCCTCCATGTCCCTTGCATGGCATAGCCGCTGGTGCTGTCATCACCTCCGCGCAGTGTATAGCGACGAAAATCTTCTTCCAGAATCTTGGTGCGAATCCACTCCAATGTCCATTGACTTTGGTTTTGTGGCAAGCTGAGTCCGCTTATAAATTGCAGCCAAGACTCGGGCAGCAGGCTGAGCATCTTGAGACACTTAGTCTGCTCAGCGTACGTGATGCCTGCAATCGCCAATTTCGCGTAGAGTTCCCTCATCTTGTCCAGAACGGGCTGCACAGGTTCATTCTCGCTCAACCTCAGCATGGACAGCTCCCGATCCAGCATGAGAGAAGCGGCAACCGATGTCGGACCATGCAGGTCCTTGAGCACTGCCCATGCCTTGGGCCCACAATCAGTTTCCGGTAGCAGATGCATGATGTGATGCCTCTGGTTCAGCTCCAAGCTTTGTGACAGTAGATAATACCCAGCAGATGAACGTTCATCCAAACCGCTTGCTCTGCCATTTCCTTTGGCCTTGGCTCCGTTCCAATCATGAGCTTCAAGAGGCCAATTTGTCGAAAGTAGAGCTGCATCTTCCATGCCCAATCATCATAGCCATCTCCAGAGAACTTCTCAATGGTGAAGTTCTTCAGCACCTCCTTAAGCAGTGACCCCTGGCTTGTACGCGCTCCCCTTTGTTCTGCAATGCCAGAATCTTGGGTTGAGCTGCCTCCTTGGACTGAAGTATCACCTCCACCAGAGTCCTCCTTATCTCCCATCGTATATTAGGTCCCAAATGCGTGATAATGGGCTCTGATACCACTTGTTGGTTAGAGAAGGCTATAAGCAGATGACTCAATGGCTCCTTGGAATTTTCTGCAGCACTTCGTTATGACGCCCAGAAAACTCGCGACCTTCGAAAAGCTATATCCAAAACTCCAATCGATGAAACGATCTGAAAATCGGATATGTTGTAGCTTGCAGCGTCAGCTTTCCACTGAAATTTTAATCACTTGATTCCGTAGCTTAACAAGTGAGCTATGGCGTTTGGCGCACTGGGGGGTAATCTGCCCTAGGAGAACTTGACAGTCCTCAGAGTCACTATAATTGAAGCTTACAAGTTCAGAGGCATGATGGAAAAGGCATTGAAGCATAGTTGGAAGGTGGGGTGGGAAGGGAAGGATGAAAGGGAAGGACCCTGGAGGCCCTTGGTCAAGAACATGACAAGAGTCAAAGTCTTGACTCCCCATCCTCAGGTTCAGCCAGCCTGGCAAGACAAAATTCACACTGTGCCAGGTTGGTCTCCAAACCCCAAGTGCTGCAGCTGCAAGGTGGGGACAAAAGCCCCACACATGCTGGTCCCTCCTCGTTATAGGGCTCTCCAACTTTGGTGTAGCAGCTGCCAAGGACTTCCAATGAGTTGTAACAAATCCATCAAACATTTCTTCGTAACTTCTTCATATGTGCTCCGATTCCAACAATTCTTGGCTCGTTGGAATGCGCTCGATCTGATGTAAAATCCAAGCACATCTGCACAAGCACAAGATGAACATGCAAAGACATGCAAACCCAACAAACCATACAAACGACGTAGCACACAAAACACATGCAACGAAATGATGCGAACAGACGACAGGATGACGTGCAAACGAATATGCACCAACAATGTCCGGGAAGATGTGAGAGAGAAATTGGCAGACCGCGTGAAGGTCAAACAGCTCCTCATGCCTGTCCTCCAGAAGTGCACGGGGGGGAATACGGATGGAGGGGACATCACCCCCGGCAGGAGGAGGCGGGGTGACCAAACACCGGATGGAGAAGGCGGCTGGTCCCCAGGCGAGAGGCGGAGCCGGTCCCTTGGAACGAGTGCGACTAGAGACCGGAGACGAAGGCGGCTGCGGTGGGACCGGAGGGACTGGGCGCCTCCGATAGGAGACTAGTGAGCCGGGCTCGACGCGCGGGGAAGGCGGAGCAGAAGGAGGTGCCGCTGCTGAGGATACTGGGGAGGCCTGGTTAGACACGCCTGACGGAGAAGGTCCTGGAGAAGGGGCAGCGGCCGGGGGTGGGGCATCGAAGTCTGCCCAAACAAGCGTCGGGGGAGGTGGAGGAGGCTCGCCCGTGGTCGCAGAGTGGAATGGGCGTGTCTCATCGAAGACGACATCACGGCTGCGAATCAGCTGTCTGGTGATTGGGTTGAGGAATAAGTAGTCTGGGGAGTCGGAGTTGTGCCCTAGGTACATGCAGGTCTGGGTTTTGGGACCAAGCTTGCCACCTTGCTTCCTGCGTGTGTGGGGGCTTAGCAACACATACGCGGTACACCCCCAGACGCGTAGAGAGCGGGCGGAAGGCGTGACCCCAAGCCAGAGAGCGGTAGGTATGGTGTCGGGCCGGTTGGGATGCGGATAAAGATTGTAGAGGAGTGCCGCATGGAAGAGGGCATATCCCCAGAGAAACCGTAGTGCGTTGGCGTGACTGAGGAGGCAGCGAGCGATCTGAACCAAGGTGTGGTTGCGGCTCTCTGCAATGCCGTTCTGCTACGGGCTTTCGGGGAGCGTGAAGGTTTGTCGAATCCCTTGGGCCGCACAGAAGTTATCGAGTTTGCCATTGCAAAATTCTCCCCCGCCATCAGAATGGAGGCACTTCAGAGGAGTGCCGAACGTGACTTGAGCCTGGCGCACCCACGCCATGATGACATCAGGTGCCTCTGCCTTGGTATGCAGGAGGTGCACAGAAACATACCGCGAGTGGTCATCGACTAGTGTAAGAAAGTACCGATGACCGCCTCGGGATGCGACTGGAGCTGGGCCCCAGACATCCATGTGCACTAGGTCCAGCGGAGCAGCTGCGACGGATGGGGAGGAAGGGTGCGGCTGCTGCCTGAGCTTGCTCTTGGTGTAGTCCAGGCAGGTGGGTGCAGGCGAGTCTGTTGGTGGAGGAAGCGCCAACGGGAGGCCAAGAAGAAGTCCCTTGGAAGAGATGTCGGCAAGTGTACAGAAGTTGGGGTGACCCAAGCGATGGTGGTAGAGGATGGTTGGGTTGGCGAAGCTGCGACACGAACACGGAGTGGTGCTGGCAGCTTGCGCTTGGGAGAGGGCGGCGAGAGGTGCAGGTGAACGCAGCGTGTATAGCTTGTTGCTGTTGAGTGTGAAGCGTGCTAGGAGCTTGTTGGGCTTAGGGTCGAGGAGGTCACAGTGATCCGAGTGTCCTGGGAAGATCGTGGTGACGCCTGCCCGTTGGAGCTCGTGTTGGGCCACGAGATTGTGGCGTAGTGTGGGAACACACATACCAGTGACACTGCCCGAAGGAAAAGCTGGGCACGGAATTGTGGAGGAGCCCTTGGCGTGTGTTTTGAAACTGGAGTCTTCTCCAAGTAGACGGATTGGTGTCTCGTATGGCTTGAAGGAGTGTTGTTCCTTGTGAGTGGCCCCACTGTCGAGGGTGAACTCTATTGTGGGTGAGGTGGTTTGTGAGCTGGGACACTGCGAAATTGTCTCATTAACCATGGCAGTGCCAGGGAACAACATGTTCAGGCGCACATCAGTAGGTGCAGCCACAGCAGCCTGCACGAATTCCTGCGCTTCAACTTGATTGACCTTTGCGAGGAGCACGATTGACCATCCAGCTTGGCGGCTTCGAGGCGGTCCCATTGACGGCATACCACTCGTCATCCTTCTTCTTGAAGCAGGAGGCAAGGGCGTGGTTGGTGCCGCCACACACCTGGTCGGCACGAGGGCCGCGCTTTATGACGCCGAATGCGGTTGCGCTGGAATGGTGCCGAAGCGGCATAGGCTTGAGGCACGGGAGCGCGGATTTCATTGGCCTTGGCTTGAGCATTGTTGTCCTTTTCGGCAGAAAGGAGCGCGGATGAGACCTTGGCAAATGTGAGGTCTGCAGGAGCAAGGCCCAAGAGCATCTTGCATGTGACTTCGTATGCCGGAGTGAGGCCGACAAGGAGAGCGGCTGCAGGGGCTTGCTCGGGGAAGACTATCCCCAACTGTTTGAGTTCACCATGAATGGACTGCACCTTGGTGACATAGTCCGTCATGCCTGGCGAGTCCTCGAGCCGCACTTGGAACATGCAGGGGATGAGTATAGCAACTCCCACTGCAGTCTTGTTCAGGAAGCGATCTTCGAGGTAGAGCCAAATGGCGTTGGCAGACGGGTAGTTGTGGTAGGTTTCGACGAGTTCGGGAGGAGTGGTGCCCATGAAGACACTAATGACCGCACCATCGGCCTTCTCCCAATTCTTGTACTTGAGAAGTGCAGCAGTATAAACTGGTTGAGTAAGCCATTGTTGGTGGGAGGCTCTTTGCCGTCACCGATGTTGAGAAGGACGTCGGTGAGCTCGAGCCCCTTCACCTCGCGACTGAGGAGGTGCTTGTCGACACCATAGCGCAATGCCTGTAATTGGAGCATGTGCCGTCCGGCTCGAGACGAAGGAGCGGGATCGGGTTGGCGAGTGAAGTGGTTGAGTAAGCCATTGTCGGTGTGCAGCGCGGCACTTCTGGAAATTGGTCGACGAGAATCGTTGAAAATCACTCTGACGGCTTTATCAAAATGCCGCTAAGTAGGAAATGGCGTCGGCGAAAATTCGTTAAAAACGCCGACTTGAAACTGAATCTGAGCCTATGTCTAACCCCGGACCCACACACCCCCCCACACACCCCCAGGCCCTATCCCGCAGCTACACAGCTCCGCAACCAGCTCCGCAACCAGCTTCGCTCCGCTTCAACCTGTGTACCTGCTCTTGCTTGACGCGAGACGTTCGTGGAGGCGATTTCGCGAGGGGAGTTCGCCTATGCTGGCGGGGTCTGAGGGGAAACTCGAGAACGAGTTTTAAGAGATGGTCGAAATTGAGATTCGACCAAGGAGAACCGAGGAGGAAATCGACGATGAGAAGCATGAACGCTTCAGAGATGAGAAATTCAACGAGGTCGAGCGCGAAGGTGGTCGACGATGAATGGCTCGACTGCAGAGTGGAGCATGTCGAAATTCCGACGACTCGAAACGAATGTCGCGACGATGAAGTGCGCATAGCGCGGGCACGTTGGGATTAGGACCTTGATCCGCATGTGCGCATAGGTCGCTCTTATACCAGGTAAGAAATAGAGTTCAAAATGATTGATTAGGAAAGGAGCCCAAGGCTCTATAAGTACATGGCAAGGTGAGAGTGAATGGATGAAGGGGGGAATTGGAGGGAATCCCCATTGGGATCTCCGGAATCTCCAATAGGATAATTGGAGATTGGGGGGATCACAATTGGGTGAGGTTGGGATTTGTGAGTACACCCCAACCCACTAGAACATTCATAACCTAAACTAGGATATAAAAGTACAAATACAAAAGTGGTATTTGCAGTCTATTTCTAACAGTTTTCGTGACGCTTGTGAAGCACGGCAAAAAAAGCGGAAGAAGAATTGGAGTTGCATGCGCATCTCGTCGCAAAAGCGGGCGGGGCCTCTTTCCCGGGGCAAAATTCGGTTACCATGCTGTTTTCGCGTGTCAGTCTATTATGTGCGCGCTGCCCATCCGCTCATTTGTCGAGCCACGGGTGGGGCTCGTGTCCGCTCGTGTCCCAGCGTTAGCTGTTGATACTGTAGGTGTACCTCAACACATTCACACTTTGGCGAATCAATATTTCGGCATGTTAAAAAAACGTAAAAAAATTCGTGTTGGGGCAAAATGAACGTGCTGGACACGCCCTCATGTGTTGACGAAATCAAGCTCTGGTTTCTTGTGTTGGTGTGGGCAATGCAACGCAATGATTCAGAGAGCGACTGGAATCTGAAGGGCGAGATGCTCGGCAAGCTGGACCGCAAGGCCATGCTGTTCCCTGCGGACGATGCGCTCCTCATGTCTGACTCCGTCGCCGCGGGTGTGAGCATGATGCTGAACCCGAACGCGGACCTGGAGGACGCCAAGGGGTACTGGATTTGGCTGCTCGCCAACATGGTGGACGGGCTCTATTCGGAGGAGGAGATGAGCGACGCGCGCGAGCTCAAGGACTTGAATGGCCACAAGATGGGCCAGAGTGAGGACGCCGCGGCGGCGGCGGCGGCGGCGGATCTGAGGGGGGGGAGGAAGATGCGTTTCTGGAAGGCCAACGCGCAGATTAATGACCCTGAGATTTTCAAAGGGAAGTTTCCGATCGTTCATTGCATGGACGCTCTGCAGTCGCCGTACTGACCCCCCTGCCGCTCTGCAGTCGCTGTACTGACCCGCCTGCTGGGATTCAAGCGTTTGGGCGAAAAGAAGCTCGTCTGGCTGATCAGCTTCGTAGGACCTACATACTACTGTGTGTTCCTAGGCGTTCGCCTGTGTCTAGAGCTATCTGTACCTAGACTGGGTGGAGCAACGCATTAGTGTGATGATGCTTGGCTGGAGGCTCCAGCTAGGTGTTAAATTATATATGCTAGTATATAATTGTAGGCTTGGTAGGCTTACTGAACTTTACTGTAGAGGGTACAACACCCCTCCTTGTATCCCTCTCTCTTCTATTCTGATTCTCTTTTCTCTCCTCAACTTTCCTAGCACCTAAAACCTCTCGCCATTTCCATGGCTCCTCCTAGCTCCTAGCTAAACCTCATGCCATTTTATGGCTTCCTAGCTAAGCTAGTCTTGTGACATGCTATCAGAGCAGGAGGTCCTCCCTGCTGGACCGCCTCCTCATGCTTCCGCCGCGTACTCCTCACCCTCGTTCGCTCGCGCGGCCATGGCGGCCGCGTTTTGCTGCAGTGGCGGCATCGTGATGCCGCTGGCCGCGTCGTGCCGCAGCCGTCTCAACGCGCTGCCGTGGTGTCGGGCCGTCGTGCTGCCGTCGCAGCATCGACGTCCTGCTGCGACGTCGACGCCGCTCTGTGACGGCGTCGTCGGGCTGCAGCCGGCCGCACGACGCCTGTGGCGCCGCTAGACTGGCCGCCCGCATGCCAGCCTGTGGCGCCCCCCCCCCCCCCCCCCCCCCCCTCCCTCCTTCCCATGTGTCCTCTTCCTTTCCGCAGACGACGGCTGACTCCCGCCGGCCGTCCCACCGTCGCGGGGCCTGGCCACGTCACCGAGAAGTGCGGGCGCCGCGGCTGTTGTCGAAGCCGCCGCCGCCGCCGCCGCTGCTGTCGACACTGCCGCCGCTGCCACCGTCGCCGCCGCAGCCCCTGCGGTCGACGTCGCCGCCTCACGCGCCGAGGGGTCGACCGAGCTAGTGTCGCTGTCACAGTGGCTGGAATGGGGGTGCTAGGTTAGGGGGTGTGGGTGTGTGTGGGCTTGTATCTACCAAGCCTAGGGGGTGTGTTAAATTATATATGTTAGTATATTATTGTATGCTTGGTAGGCTTACTGAACTTTACTGTAGATGGTACAACACCCCTCCTTGTATAACTTTCTCTTCTATTCTGATTCTCTTTTCTCTCAACTTTCCTAGCACCTAAAACCTCTCGCCATTTCCATGGCTCCTCCTAGCTCCTAGCTAAACCTCATGCCATTTCATGGCTTCCTAGCAGGGTCCTAAATAGCAGACTTTTTTTGTCTGATTGTCTGATTTTCAGACTGGTTTTTAGGGTTTCTCTGATTTTTCAGACAACGGTTTGAAAATACTCTGATTGGCCTAGACAAGCTTTTAAGATTTCTCTGAATTTCTCAGACTAGGTGTACCAGTTTCTCTGATTTTTAGACAAGTGAATCGAGTTTCTCTGAAACAGAGACATACATGTGTACCGGCTCCACACACACCCCTCACACCCCAAAGATTTTGACAAAGTCCCCCACACCAGAGACATTCCTCCCCACACCCCTCGCATACAAAAAAAATCGGCTAAGTTCCCGACACCAGAGACATTCCTTGCTCCCCACACCCCTCGCACCCCAAAAAAATCGGCTAAGTTGCCCCCCCCCCCCACATCAGAGTCATTCCTCCCCATACCCCTTGGGGGCGGGGGCAAACCCTGAAACAGCAGGGCCAAAAGAGAGAGGGCTGCCTGCACATGACACGTCACGTGAGTCTCATCGCCCTTAGGACCCGCTCGAAAAGTGTGCGTTCTTAGCGGACGCTCTCGAAGCGTGCCAGCAATCCTGTTGCGCACGTTTCGAAATCGGCTGGAAATCGTGCCCGAAATGAGCTCCCCCCAGAAACGACAAATAATGGCTGACGAAAAGTAAATACACGACTTCGTCATATTCGGGCAGATTCGTCAATGCCGTGGCAAAAACAGCGAGGCCTCCTACTACCGTAACTCCATTTCTTTCGCCAATATTTTTTGGTTTTCGCTGCGCTGAGCATTTGTCGTATCAAAGACTGGACACAAGGCCGAAGCAAACATGCTCTCTGTGGTCGAAAGGTGAACCTCGCGACATCTACATTCCCCGTAACATTTTTCCGAGCATGTACAGAAGACGTAAAAAGCGCGTGTCAGGGCAAAATGTGTTGTGATATAATTGATACTTCGCATTTCTGTAAGTCGATTAGGTGTAGATAGTGTCGAATCCTATTGTAGAACATAAGTCCGTAGGATGACGTCAGCAAATAGCGCTCGTCATAGGACAGTCGTTTCAGTTACGCGAACAGTCGCACCTCTTCATTATCGTTTAGGGCGCATAGCGCGATAGTGACGAACATGTACATTAGCGAATAGGTACTTTCCTAGAGCTATAAATCTTTGTTGTGTCCTTTTTATGATTAACCTTGAGATTTCAACTTTGAGAACTTTGAGACTTAACTTCTGCAGAAACATATACTCAGGTTCACTCTTACAAGACTTCCACTGTCTTACTAGTCTACCGTTCCAGTAGAGATCCTGGACCAACACTTGAGGATTTCCAAGTGTTAGTGTTTGCAGTTTTATACTTAGTCTTCTACAACATTGGACAAGTTATTTCATGGTATGAGAGCTATCTGGAATTAAGACTACTGTCAACAATGACTGGTTCATCACCAGCACTGTCTGCCGGATCAACTTCCGGAACTACTGGAGTACATGTCTCCACTACCGCCACTGGTCTCTCAGCCTCTAGGCCGTTTCCACCAGCCTATGCTCATATCGGTATGCAACAGCAGAATCCGCCTTCTGTTAACACTCCAGGTGTTTCTTCGACTGCACCTGCAGCGCAACAACAACAATCACAGACAACAGCACAGCAACAAGCGTCAGTACAGCCACCAGTTTCAACGCAATCAATATCGTCAGCGTTCAGTGGAATGAGCCTTGACGGCTCAAGTTATATGCGTGGAGTCACAGCTCCAAGTACTAGTTTGTTCACTTTCTCACCTTCTGTACAGCAGCCGCAGTCGCAGCAGATTCAAGCATCCTTTCTACATTTTCGGCCGTTCCCCTGCTCAGCAACAGCAACAACAGCAGTATCATCAGCAGCCACAGGAATTTCAACAGCAACAGCAACAGCAACGACAGCAACAGCCGGGTATTATTTTTCAGCCTCCAAATTTACTTAACAGCACACAGATAAAAACCACTATACCTTTTAACGGAGTCGACTTCTACTCCTGGAGCTTTGAGTTTGAACTTCTGGCGCAGTCCGCTGGGCTATGGCCGTTCTTCACCGGCGAGTTCACGTATCCTGTCGTGGGAACACAACTGCAGCAGCAGAGTTTCTTGCACGCCTCTCTCGGGGCTTATACAGTTCTTGTTCGGAACTTGTCGCCGAAGGAGCAGCTCGGCGTCCGATCATTTCACTCAAGCTTTACACCAGCCGAAACTGCTTGGAACCATCTGAAGGGGGTATACATGGCAAAGGATACAATAACAGTGAGTAAAATACTTTCGCAGCTGACAAGTGTACAGATGATGACAAACGAAAATGTCATGGACTACGTCAACCGCGTCCGTACACTACGAGATCAACTGGAGAAGAGTGGAGGATACTTCCCTCGTGAGATGTATCTCACGGTACTTCTTGCTGGTCTTGGACCCGAATGGCGACAGACACGCGTCTTTCTGCGAATGAACCCGAACCATTCCGAAGCCGAAATCTCTTCATATCTTCAAGCAGAGCAGCAAGATCTTGACCTGCAGTCACAACGCAATCAGAAGAAACGGGTTCATTTAAGTTTTTACTCCAATCCAGAACCACAGCACTGACATCCTCCAAAATATCCATTCTGCTATTTTTGTAAGAAACCAGGACATACTTACCAAAATTGTCGCAGTCGACATCAAAACCGACGCAGCACTTCACAGCCTTATCATCGCTTGCAGCAGTTACTGAAGCCACCTCAGTCCGCGCAGCAGTCAACGACCCAAATGCAGCAGATGCCAAAAACGCTGCAGAATCCATCTCCGTCACAGCATCGTCCTCCGGTTTTTGCAACTGCAACATCAGGGAAAGGGGTCTTTGGATGCGTCACCACAGTTGATGTTTCAGAAACAGATTTTGAGACACGACTTGAAGAAACCACAAGTGCTGAAGGCATTCCCTTACCTCAAGTTTACGCTAACCTTGCTCGAATAATTTCAGGTCCAAATACTTGGTATCTCGACAGCTGCTGCGGTTGGCACATGTGCTCCGCAGAAACAAGCTTCATCACCAACCAGCGTCCACTTCGTCGTCCGATATGTCACAGTTGCAAACGGACAAACTATTATGGCACGTTCTGTTGGGAGTGTAATGCTTGAATCTATCGACACGAGATACTCACTCCATGTTACCAATGTTCTTATCGTCGCTGGCCTTGGATTCAATCTCCTTTCCACAACTCAGCTCCTGGCACACAAGATCCGCACACAGGGCAATTGTGAAACGATGGATCAGGAGCTCAGGCACAGTTCAACGAATACTTACCTTGGTCATGCCGCCACTCAACATGGCGTGTCCGTTCTTCAATTCGCAGCACAGGGAACTTCTGGAGATTCTGAACGCGTCCTTGCACTTGGTCCCTGGGATCACCCAGAAGAAACATATTATCAACACGTGGATATTGACTTTCGAGCAACTACTGTACCAACGGCTTCTCGAATTGCAGCCGCCGTCCTTACCGCGTTGGATACCTGGGAGTTCAATACCGCCGATGAAAGCGCCACCGCGTGGCGAACGTTTTAAAATACCCGTGCAGCATTCCAAGGAACTCCAGCACCACTTTGGGGATAAATTAGTGGACTTGCAGCTGATCAACCTGACGTCATTGACGAAGCCGAAAAGGAAGCAGTCGCCGAGCAGCTGTGTCCAACAGCAGCTGTCACCGAAACACCTGCCACAACATCAACCAAAGCAGCAAGAGAAATTGCCATCGCAACAGCAGTAGCACCTTCAAATGTTCCGTTACCACTTACGCGTTTTGTTGAAGGAGACGTTGACAAGTCACCAGCGCTTTCTCCTTTTTATCATTTCTTCTTTCTACACTAACGCCGGTTTCTACCTGCGATCATCAGGACACAAAGCCACAGAAGATATCTGGCATCAGCGGTTAGGACATCCATCACAAGGGATACTTAATCATTCAATCCGAGCAGCAGTTCTTGATAAGAATAGTCTTATCTTACTTGACGGCATGGAGATGAAGCCGCAGTCCCGCCCCACGGTTTGCACCACGTGTCCGGTTGCCAACCTTACCCACGATCCATTTCCAAGTCATTTTCCTGGCTCAACACGTTATAAACTGATGCAGAAAGTCTACAGCGACATACTAAACTTACCTGAAGCAGGACCTAAAGACGAGAAGTACGTACTAACATTCATCGAAGCGTCTACACGCTACGTCTGAACAGCAAACCTTCCCGCTCGTTATCTCGCTCACTCCGTCTTCGTCGCGTGGCTCGCTGTCGCTGAACGAGAGTCAGGCGTGAAACTGCAAGAATTTCAGAGTGATGGTGCAGGGGAGTACATCAGCAACACTTTCACAGAATACCTTCAGACCCTCGGCATCAAACGGAAGCAGTCACTGCCGCATGCACACCAACAGATGGGGGTAGCAGAGAGGATGAACCGAACTCTGCAAGTGAAGATGTGTGCTCTGCTGATGCAGGCAGCTCTTCCTGTCGACTTACAGCATCGACTATGAACTAACTTTTGCTCCTGTCGGTCGACATACAAGGGTGCGGATTTTACTCTGTATCGCCGCCTGCCGTAATCTCCGACTTCGACAAATCAATGTGTCAAATGCGTTTCTCTACGCGCCTGTCGTCGCACTCATCCTGGTAGAGTACCCGCATTCCTATGCTACTAACCCACCGAGCGTATGTCGTCTCCGAAAATTGTTGTACAGCCCTAAACAGGCACCACGGCTCTGGCAGCAGTACCTTCACTCACAGCTTATCACTGCCGGATTTTGTCAGCTACCGCATGATCAGGGAATGTATCTTCTGACTGACGGCAGCAACTATATTTTACTCGTCGCCTACGTTGACGATATCCTCTACGTCAGTACTACCGATTCTCTTGCCGATATCTTCATACGGAAACTACATTAAACTCTACAGCTTACCGTCCTCGAAACAGTCTCACAGTTTCTTGGTCTAAACATTACTTGTTCACCGACGTCTATTCATCTCACCACTTCAAAGTACGCAGCAACGCTTGCTGCCCGCTTCAACCTCACTCCTACTGCAGTCTCTACACCGTACCGCTCACTACCGACTGACCATAAACCAAACACTGCACTGTTAAATTCAACCGGTTTACAGATCTATCAACAGCAGTTAGGCTGTCTACTCTTCGCCGCTGTCACGTGTCGTCCCGATCTAGCTTACGCGGCCAGTCACCTCGCTCAGTTCCTACGCCGTCCTGAAGAGGAGCATCAGATTGATCTTCTCTGCGCGCTTCAGTATTTCATCTCGACACCTAACGTCGGTTTAGTCTACAACGTCATCGGTTGCAAAACACTATATCTACATGGTTTCGTCGACGCCGATCACGCTGCTGACTCTACAAATCGACGGACGCGCACTGGATTCATCTACCGGCTTGAACCTATCGGACCTATTTCTTGGAATTCGACGAAGCAGGAGTTGATTGCTCTCTCCTCTGCTGAAGCTGAGTTCATCACTGTCTGCACAGCAACACGTGAAGGACTTTACTTGCAGGAACTATTGGAAGAAGCGAAGTTGACGACGACTACCCAGTTTACTCTGCAGTGCGACAACCAAAGTGCAATTTGCATCGCGCACCAGCCTGGTTTCGTCAACAGGACGAAACATATTTCTCTGCGTTACTTTTTCGTCGAGAAGGGGAGGATGCGATTGGTCTATTGTTCGACCAACGAAATGGCTGCCGATTTCCTCACAAAGAATCTGACACAACAGAAGTTTCAATAATGTAACAAGCTTTGCGGGATCTTCAAGACGTGACTCTATCGGACTTCTAGAAATGAAGGGGATTGTTGTGTTGTATTTCATACTTAGCATTTCTGTAAGTCGTTTATCGATATATAGTGTCGAATCCTATTGTAGAAGATAAGTCCCTAGGATGACGTCAGCAAATAGCGCTCGTCATAGGACAGTCGTTTCAGTCACGCGAATAGTCGCACCTCTTCATTGTCATCTAGGGCGCATAGCAAGATAGTGACGAACAGGTACATTAGCGAATAGGTACTTTCCTAGAGCTATAAATCTTTGTGGTGTCCTTTTTATTATTAACCTTGAGAACTTTTAGACTTAACTTCTGCAGAAACATATACTCAGGTTCATTCTTACAAGACTTCCGCTGTCTTACTAGTCTACCGTTCCAGTAAAGATCCTGGACCAAAACTTGAGGATTTCCAAGTGTTAATGTTTGCAGTTTTATACTTAGTCTTCTACAACATTGGACAAGTTATTTCAAAATGAACTCGTTGGATACGCCCTAAGTCTTCTTATGACGGTCAGATGAAAGTTCAAAGCCAAGTCTGATTTTCAGATGGCCAAAAATCCTAGCAGAGTCCCCCCGGTTTGGACGCTTAGCGGTTATGCTCGTTTGTAACCCGCAACCGCTAATTATTCGAAGTGCTGCACGTCTCATCATCTCATGCAAACAGACTATGCAAATACGTTTCTCTGAATTTTCAGACATTCGTTCTAGATTTCTCTGAAAAATAAGTCAACTTTTTCCTACTTCTCTGATAGTGAAAAGTGCATCAGACAAAATGAGCAAACCTTGTCTGATTCCTCAGACACGTTTTTTTCCAAAACAGAACCCTGCTTCCTAGCTAAGCTAGTATTGTGACACTAGGATGGGGTTTAGGGCGGGGGGGTAGTGTCAAATGTAACTTAGGTTGTTACAGTAGACTATATTGGATTGTGCCTTAGAGGGTACAACACCCTAGTCTATATATCCTTGTACACACACATTCTAGTTCAATCATTTTCTTTCTGATATGGTATCATAGTAGGTTAGATCCCCCCTTAGCCCGCTCACGCTTCCGCCCCTACGTTCCTAGCCGGCCCCCTGGCCGTCGCGCTCGTCCCTAGCCGCCCCCCCTGGCCGTTCGCGCCCGTCCCTAGCCGGCCCCCTGGCCGTTCGCGCTCGTCCCTAGCCGCCCCCCTGGTCGTTCGCGCCTATCCCTAGCCGGCCCCTGGCCGTCGCGCTCGTCCCTAGCCGGCCCCCTGGCCGTCGCGCCCGTCTCTAGCTGGCTCACTGGCCGTCGCGACCGCTCCTAGCCGGCCCCCTGACCGTCGCGATCGCTCCTAGCTGGCCTCCTGACCGTCGCGCCCTTCCCTAGCCGACCCCTGACCGTTCGCGCCCGCCCCTAGCTGGCCCCCTGGCTGTCGCGCTCGCCCTTTGCCGGCCCCCTAGCCGTCGCGCCCGTCTCTAGCTGGCCCCCTGGTCGTCGCACCCGCTCCTAGCCGGCCCCCTGCATGTCGCGATCGCTCCTAGCCGGCCCCTGACCGTCGCGCTCGCCCCTAGCCGCCCCCCTGGCCGTCGCGATCGCTCCTAGCCGGCCCCCCTGACCGTCGCGCTCGCCCCTAGCCGGCCCCCTGGCCGTTCGCGCCCGTCCCTAGCCGGCCCCCTGGCCGTTGAGCCCCTCCTAGCCGGCGCCCTGGCCGTTTCGCGCCCGCTCCTCGCAGGCCCCCTGGCCGTTTCAGCCCGCCCCTAGCCGTCGCGGCTGCTTCTAGCCGCCGTCGCGGCCGCTTCCTGCCGTCCCTCGGCCGCCCCTAGTCGTCCCGGCCACCCCTCGCCGTCGTGGCCGCCCCTAGCCGCCGCCGCTGCCGTCTCCAACCGCCTCATGGTCGCTCCTGTCGTCGCGGCCGCCCCTCGCCGCCGTCCCGGCTGTCCCTGCCGCCGTCGCGGCTGTCCCTGGCCGCCGTCGCGGCTGTCCCTGGCCGCCGTCAGGGCTGCCTCTGGCTGTCGTCGCGGCTGTCCCTGGCCGCCGTTGCGGCTGTCCCTGGCCGCCGTCGCGGCCGTGTCTACTTGCCGCCCGCCGGCCGGCCCCTGCATTTGCGCCGTCGTCGGCCGGCCGCTGCCTCGGGTTGGGCCCGTTCTTCCCGATCAGCACTGCCCTCCGAACCCCCCCCCCCCCGGTACCGTACTGCATCACTTTGCACCGCACTGCACCGCTTTGTACTGCACTGCACCGCACTGCACCGCATTGCACTGCACCGTTCTTATCCCGTGGCTTGTCGCTGCGCGTGTTCGTCGCGATCTCCCTATCTTGCGCCTCCACTTCGACCGTGGTGGCGAGTTTGCCTGTGGTGTCCTTGGTCGTTTCTGTCGTGCAGAGGGCATCACCCAGACGTTCACCTTGCCGGACTCTCCGCAGCAGAATGGGGTCGCTGAGCGACGCATCGGTTTGGTCATGGAGGTGGCTCGCACCTCCATGATCCATGCCGGTGCACCCCATTTTCTGTGGCCGTTCGTCATTCGCTACGCCGCTCACCAGCTTAACCTGTGGCCACACCCCCAGCAGCCTCAGGTTTTGCCGACCCTCCTTTGGTCTGGGTCACCTTGTGACGCGTCTGCGTTCCACGTCTGGGGATGTCTTGCTCACGTTCGTGCCTCTGGCACGGACAAGCTCACTGCCCGCACCCTTCCCTGTGTCTTCCTTGGCTTCCCCCTTGACGCGTCTGACTGGCACTTCTACCACCCGCCGTCTCACAAGTTCTTTCACTCCCATGACGTCACCTTTGACGAGTCCGTCTCCTTCTTCCGCCGCTTCCCCCATCGAGGTCCCCCGATTACCCCCCCCCTGTTCTTGGTCACCCCTTCCCCGGTCGTCGCCGCCCCTCCTCCTCCCCCTCCTCGTCCTGCCCCCTCTGGTGTGTCCCACGTCACCCCACTTATGTCGATTGTACCGGTTGAGGAGTCTACTGACTCTGGTAGTCCTGCGGCGCAGTCCTTACCGCCTGCCCCTTCTCAGGTGTCCCCTCCTCCTCCGCCTCCGCAGCCGCAGTCGCCAACGCTGTCGCAGCCGTCGTCACCGCCGCCGCCGTCGCCGCAGCCGTCGTTGCGACCGCCGCCGCCTCAGCCGTCGCTGCAGCAGTTGGTTGCCTCTGGGGGTGCTGGAGTTGGGGTGGGTACTAATCCTGGGACTCCTGTCATGGCTTGTCCCGGCGGGCCTGGGGGTGGTACCGGTGCTCGAGGGGTTCTGAGCTCTGGGGGTGTTCTTCTGGGGGTGGTGGTGTGGAGTGTTCTGGAGGTAGCAGCCCGGCAGCTTGCGGTCCCGGTATCGGCGTCACACCGCCATCACAACAGTCCCCGCCGGTGTCCGCTCTTCGCCTGCTCGGCCTTCCGTCCCCTGACCCCGTGCCCGTGCCTCCTCCTCCTCCTGTCTCCGGCCCTGTGTTCCCTCCTCCGGACGCGTCTCCGGCCCGTTTCGCTCCTCGTTCCCCTCCTGTGTCTCCTCCTCTGTCTCCTGACCCGACTCCCCCATCTCACGTCTGGTCTCGCCGTCCCTCCCGTGCTCGACTTGTCTCCCCTGTCTCGCGCTCTCACCCTATGTTGCTTCGTTCCCACTCGTCTCGTCCTCCCCTTCTCCCGTCGCCCCCTCCATCCTCCCTTGTCGTTGCTCCCCCCCCTCTGTCTGAATACCTGCGTGCCGCTCATCCTCTTGTTCCTCGGGTCCTTGCCTCTCTCGTTACCGACCCGTCTGTTCCGGTTTCGAGCCTTGACGCCCTTGTCGCTGCGGTCGCTGACTTCGCCTCTACCCGCCTGTAAGAGTACGACCCCGTTACACCACTTGGCCTTTTCTTATTTCCTTCCCTTTTCATTTCTCGTTTTACCGCATCTCATTTGGTTTCCTATTTTCCATTTTCCATTATCCTTTGGTCTCTTCCTTTATTATAATTATATCACCGACCAGGCATGGAATGTACTAGAGACGTTATCCAGCGTAATCCTGCCGTAATCCCTTAAAGCCAATAGCCTCACGTGGCTATACGCAGGGTGATTCTATCTTCTAGAAGGGTCTATTCCCTTAGGATAAGATAAACCTGGTTACCTGATGTACTCTGGAAGTATAAAAGCGCCTTGTACCGATCGATAGTGCAACCTTTCCTCGACACATTCGATCCTGTGACACCGCCGCCTTGACTACGCCACCGCTCTGGTCTCTGACCCTGCCTGTCCTCCGTCTGTCGGGGGTGCTCCTGCCCTTGGCAGTGACGTCCTAGAGGACCGCCTGTACGAGCTTGCTTTCCTGTCCGAGGCTGCTCCACATCTCTGTTCCATGCTTCTAGTCCCTGAGGGTGACCCCGACGCTTTCGACATCCCGACCCCTCGTACTTACGCTGAGGCGGTCTCGGGACCCTGGGCCTCTCAGTGGATAGCTGCCATGGAGCAGGAGATGGCATCTTGGAGATCGACCGGCAGCTACGTCGACGCAGTTCCCCCACCTGGGGTGAACGTAGTCGATGGCCGCTAGCTCTTCAAGGTTAAGCGCCCTCCTGGAGAGCCGCCTATGTTCAAGGCGCGCTACGTGGCTAGAGGTTTCAGTCAGCGTGAGGGGGTGGAATTCTTCCAGACCTTCGCTCCGACCCCGAAGATGACTACTCTTCGGGTGCTACTACACGTAGTAGCGCAGCGTGACTACGAGCTTCACTCCCTCGACTTCTCCACTGCGTTTCTTCAGGGCAGTCTACACGAGCAGGTCTACCTGCGCCGCTCTCAGGGCTTCACTGGTACCTTCCCTCCTAGGACCCAGTGGCTCCTGCGGCGCCCCGTCTACGGCCTGCGGCAGGCTCCCCGTGAGTGGCACGACACGCTGCGTGCTACGCTTGCTGACCTGCAGTTCTTTTCGTCCTCTGCAGACCCCCCGCTCTTCGTTCGTGCTGGCCAGACTCCGTTCTACATCCTTGTTTACGTAGACGACCTGGTCTTCGCCAGGGCAAACAGGGACGCACTGGCCTCCGTGAAGGCAGAGCTGCTGAAGAGACACACCTGCACTGACCTTGGAGAACCGCGCCACTACCTTGGCTTGCAGATCCCCAGGGACAGAGCAGCCCGCACCATCACTTTGACTCAGTCACACTTGGTGCGCCAAGTCCTTCAGAGGTTCGGCCTTTAGTTCTCCTCCGCACAGCCTACTCCTCTGCCTCTAGACCACAGGCTCTCCGCTCCAGTTCCTGAGGGGTCAGCAGAGCCCAGTGGTCCTTACGCAGAGCTGGTGGGTTGCCTCATGTACCTGATGACTTGCACGCGTCCAGATCTCGCATACCCTCTCAGCATCCTGGCTCGCTTTGTGGCTACAGGCAGACACCGACCTCAGCACTGGTCTGCCGCTAAGAGGGTTTTGCGTTATCTTGCAAGTACATCGGGCATGGGGTTAGTGCTAGGAGGACGCAGGCCAGTGGTCCTTACTGGACACACAGACGCTTCTTGGGCAGACGACGTCGAGACCCTCAGGTCGTCACAGGGCTACTTCTTCAGCCTTGGTTCAGGTGCCATCTCGTGGAGAGCTACCCGCTCCTCGTCTGTTGCCCAGTCCAGCTGTGAGGCTGAGATCTACGCCGGTGCCATGGCGGCACAAGAGCTCCGCTGGCTGACCTTCTTGCTCACTGACTTAGGTGAGCGGCCTAGCTCTGCCCCAGTCCTGTACGCTGACAACAGGGCCATGATCCTCCTGTGTCAGGAGCCTCGACTCGAGGGCAGAGCGAAGCACATTCAGCTGCGGTACTTCCTCCTGCATGAGCTGCAGCAACGTCACCAGGCGCGCGTAGTACACTTGGCCTCCGGTGCCAACACAGCTGATATCTTTACGAAGGCGCTTGCGCCTAAAGATCATCAGCGGCACTGTGTACAGCTGGGTCTCGTTCCTGTAGCCTCTCACTTGCTAGGGCCTTGCCTTTGTACTGTCCTTTATATATATATTTTACCCAGACTGGCCTTGTGGCCTCTCCCAGTGGCTGGACTAGTAGTGCCGCCCTGGGCTTGTTCTTTCCTTGTCTGTACTCCTTTTGACTGGTCTTTAGACCCTTGTCTCAGAGGCTGGACTAGTAGTGCCGCCCTGAGCTGCTTCTTCCCTTGTTAGGCACTGCCCCTATATAGTCTAGGGGGTGTGTCAAATGTAACTTAGGTTGTTACTGTAGACTATACTGGATTGTGCCTTAGAGGGTACACCCTAGTCTATATATCCTTGTTCACACATTCTAGTTCAATCATTTTCTTTCTGAGAGGTAGTTGTTTGGAGAAATGCACCAGAGGGTGAAAGGCTTTGTTAAGTGGACCAGAGGGTAAACTTCACTAGTAATTATTCACTAGTTGGTGTTTGCTTCCCTACAGAACTTTTCATGCAGGAGGTCACGCTGTCCTGGTCCATGCATGCATCCTGTGTGGAGTCTTTTCACATTACAACATGGAAGCTGGGAATAGAGCCGCTCTAGGTAGGATAGGAAATATAACAAGATAAAGAAAGAGTGTCGTTGTTACACAGCATGCGCGTTGATTTGAAACAACCTTACAGAATGGTCGTCTGAACAGGAGGCTAGCTCCAAGCAGCTTCCTTTCCCCTTTTCTACGCCCGCCTCCCTACTATCCTCAACCCTCGTCTCTCCTGCCCTGCTATGTCCCCTCCCACCCTCCCCTCGCCATCGCAGCCTATGAACAGCTGCCAGGTGGCAATGAATGTCACTGAAAGTCACCAAAAGCTGTAGCTGGAGCTTGGCTGGAGAAGGTGACGGGTGGGGTGCGGTGGAGGGAGGTGCCGAGGGATGGAATGTGGTAGAACTGGGTGCAGCAGCATGCGCCTTGCCACTTGCAACAAAAGGGGAAAGATCTGCACTCCACACCTGTATTAATCCGTTTTCTAAGCCGACTGCGAGGAGAGAGCAAAGAACAGGAGCTGGAGCTGGAGCAGCGGTGGCAGTTGCAGGAGCAGCAGGGAAGTCAGTAGTGGAGGGTTGTGCAAGAGGTGGAGGAGCAGGAGGGAGGGATGGGAGGCGAGGGGACCAAGCCACAGCAGTGACTGGGTGAGGGAACATGGGGAGGGTTGCGAGAAGTGTGGTGGAGTAGGGGGTGGGTGAGGAGGTGGGTCGAGTGGGGGAGGTGGAGGATGGGACGGCTACAGCCGGTGTCTGTTCGATGGCTTGCCACACCTTGACCTGATGTGAGAAGAAAGAGAATGGGTGCACGAGAGTAGCGTATCATCGTTTGAACATCTTTCCACACCAATTCCACACGAAGCACAAAAAGCGACATGGGGCACGGAGCTCAAAGGCTATCAAGGGACATCAGCGCGGTCGAATCAGGTGGAATTGGGTGGAATTAGGTGGAAGCACAAGCACCGTTAGAAGTGGGGATTAGATTAACGATGAGGTTCGCTCTCGCCGATCTACCTCGCGACCCCAAGGGGCCTCTTTTGAAGACGGAAAAAGTATAGACTGGTTCTCCTCACCGTCTAATCTCTTGACCCAATGGCAAAGATGCGATTCAACGGGGCCTATTAATGAGGTGCCTTCAAAACAAAAAAAAACTGCTCCCTCTCACCATCTTGTCTCGTGACCCAGTGGCGAAGATGCGACCCAAGGGGGCCCAGGAGCAAGCCCAGATGATGCGCTTGTGTGCTTCCATCCGAGAAACCAGATGGTAGGGGGCTGTGAGGGGACGAATGAGGGAGAGGTAGAAAGGTAAAAAGCAAACACAAGGGTGAAACCGAGGGCGCCCAGAAGCAAGCCCGGAAGATGCGATAGTGGCCCTCCAGCGTGTTGCTTGGATGAAATGTGTGGGGAGGGTTGGCTGACACGTGCTGCAGGCAGTGAAGAGGGAGAAAGGGGCGAGACACCAGGGTTGGCTTCAGCAGAACGGGCAGCAGCCAAATGGGTGGTGGCAGTATAGGTGGTAGCAGGGATGTGATCGACTAGGATGGCTGCAGCAGCGAGGAGGGAAATTGTTGGTGGAGGGAGAGGAAAGGAAGACGGAGAATCGCAGGGAGAGAAGTCAAGCTGGGTGAGTGAGAGGGAGGGGAAGGAGAGTGTGCCACGCGTGAGCGGCACGCAAAGCGGAAAAACGGACGACTCACCAGTATCGGCAGCAGCAGAACTACCCGGAGCAGCGGAGTGATTAGCTTGAGTGGCAGCAAAGAGGGAGAAGTGGCGGTCGCGGGAGACGGAGAGGAGAAACGAGTCGCAGGGAGAGAACTCGAGCTGGGTCACTGAGAGCGTGTGCGCGGACAGGCGCGCTGCTGGCGTCCAGGGGGCTGGGGGAGAGGCGGATGATGAAGAGGAGGTGGAGGAGGTGGATGGGTGGAATGGGTGGGATGGGTGGGATGGGTGGGATGGGTGGGATGGGGTGGAGGTGTGCCAGAGCCAGATTGCTGCGAACTCAAGGGACTGGGCCTGAAGGGCGGGGGAGAGAATAGGGCGGGAGGGAGGCGAGCAGGAGGGGAGGGGACAAGTGTGGAGAGTGAAAGAGAGATAGGATAAGCAAGAGAGGAGACACGAGGGAGCCAGCGAGAGGACAAAGGAGAGGCTGAGAACGGCAGAGCGCTGCAAGGGCTGAACAGAAGCCAGGGAAAACGCAGCGCTAGGGAATGTCACACGCGCACAGGTACCATGCTGCGCCTCCCAACTGCCTAGCCTAAACTTGCCAGTCCTCGTGATTGTTGTACCTTACAATCAGTTGCCATGCCTGGCACCTCCATGATGGTCGGTAGCACGGCACACATGCTGCCCCTCCCTCCACCTTGCCTTGCCTCAGGAGGTGCGGCACTGTCGCTCATTCATATGCCGCCCCTCGCCCCACCTCGCCCCACCTCGCCTAATCCCAATGAACACTGCTGCTTCTGTCTCCCTCACCTTGCAGGCAGTTGCCAGGAACCTTCCTGTGTGGTCGGCAGCGCAACACAGGATCTCGTTGCCATGCCCGTACAGCTTCCTCACTTCTGGCCAAAGCGTGCCGCCCACCAGCTGCTCCTCTCTGGGCGGCTCCTGCAGCACGGCGGGCGGCACTGACAACCCATCCTCAGCATCCCCGTATTGGGAGTAGCCAAGGGACGAGGCGAAGGTGGACGACGGGTCGCTGGTGGCTGGTGGAGCGTGGGAGGGTCGTGAGAGGAGAAGGGAAACAGGAGTCTAGATTTGAGGCTCCTCATGTGAGAGAAGGGAAACAAACAGGATAGACCATGGCAAACAGGATAGACCATGGCGAACAGGATAGACCATGGCAAACAGGATAGACCATGGCGAACAGGGAGAGAGGGCATCGGACATGGCGTCCTCAGCATCCCCGTATCGAAGGGGAAGGGGGAAAGGGGAGGAGAGGGGGCAGCTTTTTCAGTCATTTGAAAGACACTGGGAAATATTGAACGGGAACGGAGTTATGCAACAGGAGGGCACGTCTGTACTCTGTACATGCGTATTTGTATGGGAGCACATTCACAAACCATAACGAATCAATGGCTTAACGGCACATGTTGTTATCATGCTACTGTCGGAGTGTGGGTCTGGTCAGATAACACCTACCATCAGTTAACACCTACCCACCAGGTAACACCCACCCATCAGATAACACCTACCGCTAGCAGCACTGGAGTAGATGGGCTTCTGCGATAGACCCAGAGCCGACATGCTGGCTGCCATGGCAACGCCCTTCCCTCCTGCCGCCACTGCTGCCCCTCCCTCTCTGCCACCCTCCTGCCTCGCATCTCCCCCCTCCTTCCCACTGCAAGCGCCCGTGGCAGTGTGAGAGTGAGTGCACCACAGGGTGTCCAGGAACAGCTGGGGCGACTCAAACACCCGCAGCACCTTCTCCTCCGCCCCACTCACATACACCAGCCCATCCCCTTCCTGCAACCCCTCCGCTCCTTCCTGCAACCCCTCCGCTCCTTCCTGCAACCCCTCCGCTCCTTCCTGCAACCCCTCCGCTCCTTCCTGCAACCCCTCCGCTCCTTCCTGCAACCCCTCCGCTCCTTCCTGCAACCCCTCCGCTCCTTCCTGCAACCCCTCCGCTCCTTCCTGTGACCGCTCTGCCCCTCCACTTGACCATCCTAATTCTGGCCCCTCCCCACCAGCCCCGCCAACTGCAGCCGAGCCCCCTCTCCAATCCCACCCTCCGCTCCCATCCGGGCCATCACCGAGCCTGAGGCTCGGGCAGAAGGCGGCGCACTTGAGGTCATGGCCGTGCACCTGCGGGCGAGCTGTCTCGTGCCATCCCCACCGCCGCTCGCCCGCTGCATCCCCGGCTGCTCCCCCACCCTGCTCCCAGTTGACAAAGATGCGCGCTGTCTGCGTGGGGGGGAGAGAGGGAAGGGAGGGAGGAGGAGATTGGGGGCAGCGCATAAGAGGACACGTCCGTGCACCTGGGGGCGGGCCACCTCCTCGTGCTCTCTGCACCTGTGGGCGAGCCGTCTCATGCCATCCCCAAGAGGCGCTCGATGCCATCCTCGGCTGTTCTGCCGCCCTGCTCCCAGTTGACAAGGATGCGCGCTGTCTGCGTAGGGCGTGAGGGGTGCACGGGAGGAGAAGGCAAAGGGGCAGCACACTTGATGCCCATGCGCCCATGCGCATGCAGACGAGCCGTTTCTTAGTGCCATGAGTACACGCTGGCTGGTGCTGTCTAGCGACATGTGCCTGACGACTTCCGTACGCGGCTGCTGAGACGGGTCACGGGTTCACGTCATCCCATGTGCCTGCCTCTGCTCTGCGCCCTCTCATGTGAAGAGGCAAGCATGCAAGCGGCCTGTGTGGGTCACGTGCAGGGATGGCAGCCCGGGGAGAGGAGTGGAGGGGCCAAGGACGAGGGCGGCTCGAAGCAGAGGAAGTCATAAGAATTAAAAATAGTCCTGGGTATTACATCAGCTGCGCGCACGCATCCCAGCACATGTCTCTCTCTCTCACCTGTTCACTGCTCACGCACAGCAGCAGCTGCGCCCGTGCATCCCAGCACATGTCCATCACCGGTCCAAAGTGTCCTGTTGGCGCCACCACCGCCCTCCAATCCTCCTCCCTTCTGCCCTCCTCCTTTCCTCCCTCCTCCCCTCCTTCTCTTTCCCTCCCCTCCTGCCCCCCTTCCCCTCTGTCGTCTCCCTCCCTGTGCTCCTCCTCCTCCTCCATCTCCTCCCCCTGCCCTTCCCCCTCCTCTCTCACCCTCCCATAGTCCCGCCACATGTGCAGGCTACCAGTAAACCCATGGGCCAATACCGCGTCGCCACGTGGCGACCACACGCCGCCAAAGAACCCCAGAGCCGAGTGCCCGACCTCTCCCAGGCTGACATCTGTCAGCCAAAGCCCACCAGCCCCCTGCCACGTGGCAGGCTGCCACATCAGCATGGTGCGATCCATTGATGACGTCAGCAGGCGTAGGGGCTGGAATAATGTGGCTGGGGGAGGCTTGGATGAAGAAAGAGGCTCGATGATGACAGGCTCGGCAACAGGGAGGACAGGGACAGATGGTGGGAGGGAACAGCGAGAGCGAATAGGAGGATGCCACGTCACTGAGTGCACCCAATCCTCGTGGCCCACCAGTAGGCCATCCAGCATGACTTGCCACGTGTCCCCCCCTGATTGGAAGCAGGGTCCAGCTGTGTGGTCTTCTAGGTCCCCAAACTCCTCTAGAAAACTCGAGCTACTGCCCTTTCTGCTGCCGTTATTGCTGACGTCGCTCATCCCAGTAGTGCTGCTCCCAGCGGCAGCAGTGAGGGCAATCCTCCAGACTCGCACGTTGCGGTCCTGAGAGGCCGATGCCAGCAGCACGTGGGGGGCACTGGGGGAAGCGGAAGCTGCTGCTGCTCTTCCCGCTGGTGGTGATGGTGTTGCAGCAGGAGCAGAGGGCGCAGTGCGCATGGGCAGGGAGAGGGCGAGCGCGCGGATCCAGTCCTGATGGCCCCATAGCGCGCACACCTTGGTGAAGCGCGCCGAGGGCGAGTGCGGCTGCGGGGAGGGAGGGGCACGGGGATATGTTGGGAGATGCCAAGGGAGAGGAAACAAGAGAGTAAACCCCAGGAAAAGAGAGACAGGCGCGGGAGAAGGCTCTGATTTCGTGAGAGGGAGGTGGCGTCACAGCGCGGGTGAGTTACAGCAGGGGTGAGCGACAGCAGGGGTGAGCGACAGCAGGGGTGAGCGACAGCAGTAGGGCTTGGGAGTGCGTATTGACCAGTAGGGCGGGGGCACGTACCATGATGGGGCGAGTGTGGAGGTGCACTTTGTTGTCCAGCCCCCCAAGAGCAAGCAGCACGCTGCCATGCGTCCCTGCACCAGGCAGGCAGCTCAGCGCAGCCGCCTCCATGCAGAGCCCGCCCACTTCTATGCGCTCCTCTAGCAACACGGAGAACTTAAACCCCGACCCGCATGGCCCTGCTGACATGGACCCAGTCCCACTCTGCCACCTGGCCGCCCAGACGCCAACAGTGTTGTCCGCAGACGTGGTAACCACGAGAGCCCGTGGTGGCGTGTGTTGAGGCGTGTGATGAGGTGTGTCATGCGGCGCGTATTGAGAAGGGTCAAAGTGGAGTGGCAGCAGCAGGGAAGCCATGCTGCTGATGGCCTTGCTGTGCGCTGACGCCAGCTGCTGCTGCTGCCACCACTGCAGGGGGGAAGGGGGGTTTTGGAGGGGGGGGAGGGGGGGAGAGAAAAGGAGACGCATAGCATAGGAGTGAGTGAAAGGATGCGTTGAGAAGGGTTCAAATGGAGCGGTAGCAGCAGGGTGTGACGATGGCGATGGCTTTGCTGTGCGCTGAGGGCAGCAGCTGCTGCTGCAAGCATTGGGAGCGAGGGGAAGGAAAGTGACACGGGGGCGAGGGCATGAATGGCACAAGGGGGCGAGGGCATGAATGGCACAAGGGGGCGAGGGCATGAATGGCACAAGGGGGCGGGGGCATGAATGGCCGGGCGAACGTTATACGCGGGGGAGGAGGAGCAGCGGCAGAAGGTGCAGGAGACAGAGAGGTGGAGAGGGGCGGTGGTTGAGAGAAACGTAGAAAGGGAATAACTCGGTGCACGGTACTTGTGGAAGGAAGGAAGGCGGGACGAGGCAGCAGACGAGCAGGAACAAGTGCAGCCTGCTCTGCTGTAAGCTGCTGCTGCTCTCCTGCTGCGGCTGCTCTGCTCTGCTGCTGGTTGCTTCATTTCTTCAATCCCTCTTCCCTCTCTTAGTCAAATACTCTTCCCACCCCCCTTTCCTGCGCCTGCCTTGCTTCTATTTTCGTTTGATGCACCTGTGCCCCGTGCATCCGTGCATCCGCTGCTTCCCTCCCACTGCACTCCTCTCCTTTCGTCTCACCTGCAAGCCATCCAGCTGGTGCCCCCACAGCAGCACGAGCAGGGCAGCTGAGCGCACCAATATCAGAGCATGATCCATCTCCGCCCCGCCCCTCCCTCCCTCCCTCCCCCCTCTCGCCTCCCACCTGCTTGGAGTCTTCTCGGTACGACCACGCCACCAGCGAGCCACTTGAGCTGCCTGACAGAAGCACATGCTCAGGAGGAGCACAGGCGCCTGCAACTCCGGGGGGGAAGGGACGAGTGAACGGGGAAAGAGGGATTGGGAGGGGGATGGGGAAGAGGGAAGGGGGAAGAGGGAAGGGGGAAGAGGGAAGGGGGAAGAGGGAAGGGGGAAGAGGGAAGGGGGAAGAGGGAAGGGGGGAGAGGGAAGGGGGAAGAGGGAAGGGGGGAGGGGGGCGGCGGAAGCAGTAACCCAGCACACACAAGGCAGGCAGGTGTTATGAAACAAGTGGAGCGTCGAAAGTTACCAGGTAACAGGTGCAGGTGTTGCGGCAGCCAGTGGCAGCAGTTGACTCGGGATGAATGGCCGGGCAGCTGAGCTATCAGGCGCGCTTGCTGCAGAAACATACGACGGGTTGGGGAGGGGGGAGGGGGGTTGGGGAGGGGGGAGGGGGGTTGGGGGTGCGGGGGGGAGGAGGAGGGGAGGGGGAAATTGCGGAGGAAAGTGGAGGGGTAGGGGGAAGAGGGGTGGGAAAGACAGAATAAAGGAGGGGGGTGCGCCAGGAGGGAGGAAAGGAGAGGGGGGGGAGGGGGGTTAGTTGGGGGAAGAGTGACAAAGGAAGAAAGGGGGAGGCAAGAACGGAGGGCTCTGGAAAGGTTGAACGGGAAAACGAAACGAAGAAACGAAGGCGAGGAGAATTGGAAACGGGATTCAAGAGGGGGCGTTTTTCTACTGTTACCTGGTAACCTGTTGCAAAGGCTGTTGCAACAGGAAGAGTTAAAATTCCCCCCAGTGTACAAGGTTATGAGGGGTAGAGGGCTTTACGCATTTTGAGGTGCCTCAGAGAAGCACAGGGTTTGAAGGGGTAGGGTTTTACATGGCAAAGCGCTGAGGCGCAGTACAAATCAGCAGCACCTGAAGGTGCATTGACTGACGTTGACTTACAGTTGAATGCCGCAAGTGAGTGTCGCATGCATCGCACTTGTGAGTCGCAACTGTCGCACCCGAATGTCACATACGTCGCACCTGCGCTGGGTGTCGCATATGCCGCATCTGAGTGTCGCACACGTCGCACCTGAGTGTCGCATATGGCGACGCCGTGGTGCGCGGCGAAGGCGAGCAGCCCCGAGGGACCCCACGCGGCCGCGTGAGCGACGCGATTGCATCCAACGGCCAGGAACGACAGATCCACTGTGCATTTAGCGGAGCTGCTGTTATTAGAGGTGCTGTTATCGCGTCCATCTGGGTCGCTAGTGGCTCTTCTTTGGTGAGCCATGATGGCGAGAAACGTGACCTACAGCGACCTCGGGAATCGATCGCCGCTTTCTCCAAACGTCGACTAAGTACCACCGTAAGGGGGTGTGTAAAGTGGGAACGGAGCTCCATTTTTTATGCCCGCCTGAAATTGTAGACCAATCGGATGCACGAAATCTGCATGTAAAAAAGTGTGGATTCGTGCAAAACATTTTGCGCAAACACCTTCACTCACGCTAGAAAAAAATTGACCGCTCGTTGTGCATGTGCCAGAACAATTCTGCACGAAAAACGCAAACGCATTTCGCCAATCTCAACGAAGCTGCGAAGTAGCCAGCTCGGCCAGTATGTGCCTCGCGCAGGCGAATTTTGCCAGAAATTGCAGTCGCTAGAACTTCACATTTCAAAATTTCAGCTGCATGGTTTCGTGCGGGCGGTGTAGTCTCCAACCTTTCATTGCTTCTGGAAACAGATCGAACGGGCAGAAAAAACGGAGTTTGGGACCAGAGCGGAGCCTCCGTTCCTACTTTACACACCCCCTAAGCGCCTGTGAGTCGCCCAGATGGGCAGGGAGTGTGCATTGTGATTCTGGAGCTGATGCTGGATCCGCTCTCTGCACCCCTTGCAAGCGCTTCTCTATATGAGGTTAGGGTATACGACATGTTCAATCAGGAGGCACAATGGTGTGCTGATACACACAGATGTTTTAATGCTCACGAGAATCTCTAAATTGCTGTATTGGATCACTTCCAGCTACACGTTACTCCATCATGCAACATCTGCTCACACACATGCTTGATGGCACATGCAACCACACATCACATCACATCATGCTCGCCTGAGGGCAGCAGCTTTCATGGCTTCAACCAGCTCGAGCATCTGTCATGAAGAACAGGACGAGACACAGAGGACATTCGGGGGGGAGGAGGCGGGGGGGGGGGGGGGGGGGGGGGGGTTAAATAAAAGGAAGTTAAACAATCAATATTGTGTATCATTGGCACGGAGGAGATGCCTCAAAGATGCATGACAGTGGACAATGTGGAAGGCCAAGGAGGAGAGGTCAAGACGGAAGATATCAACTGCATCCTCTACCGGCTCGTTCAATCCCCTTGGTACCACCTCATCGCCCAGCGTATCTGCGTGAGGAGTCTTTTTGAGGCACCTCAAAAGAACTGAACCACCTTGCTACATACCACCTCATCGCCCAGCATCTCTGCGTGTATGTACGTGTGTATGTTAGCATGCGCACGCTTCTAAGCATAGCGAGAGTGAGTGCGTGCGCGCGAATGTGACCGTGCCTCCCAACCATGTCCCCCTCACTCACCCCAGGCAGCCCGCGGAGCATGGGGGCGTGGTGCGCGAGCCTGACAGCAGCCTCTTCAACGAGCTCCGTGAGCTGGTCCACCTCGTCCCCCAGCAGCTGCACCTCCCTCTCCGCACGCCCCAGGTTGCCCATCGCCACACGCACCGCCTCCTTCTGCTGCCGCCACCGGTCCTCCGCCGCTTGCAGTAGACTGGAGGAAAGATGGCGGAGGGAGGGACGGACGTTGGGGGAGGGAGGGGAGAGGAGGGAGGGGAGGCAGAAGGAGAAGGGAGGGAAAAAGTTGGGTTGACATGATGTAGCAGCCATGGAGAGTGGACATGCTGGAGGGCACACTGCTACTGCATGCTGGAGGGCACATTGCGACTGCATGCTGGAGGGCACACTGAGACTGCATGCTGGAGGGCACACTGCCAATGCATGCTGGAGGGCACACCGAGACTGCATGCTGGAGGGCACACTGAGACTGCATGCTGGAGGGCACACTGAGACTGCATGCTGGAGGGCAGACTGAGACTGTATGCTGGAGGGCAGACTGAAACTGCATGCTGGAGGGCACACTGAGACTGCATGCTGAAGGCTACACTGAGACTGCATGCTGGAGGGCACACTGAGACTGCATGCTGGAGGGCAGATACTGAGACTGCATGCTGGAGGGCACACTGCGACTGCATGCTGGAGGGCACACTGAGACTGCATGCTGGAGGGCACACTGAGACTGCATGCTAGAGGGCACACTGAGACTGCATGCTGAAGGCCACACTGAGACTGCATGCTGGAGGGCACACTGAGACTGCATGCTGGAGGGCAGATACTGAGACTGAAGGAAATAGCTTGGAAGAGAAAAGATTGATTGAGCAGGGAGCCAAGAGGCTCTTTTGTACAAAACAAGGAGCAAGGAAGAGTTGGAAGGGAAGCTCTCCTATTGGCCATAAAGTGGACCAATGGGAGAGGTTGCTTGTAGGGCAAGCAACCACAAAGTGTGGTGCTCTCTGATTGGCCACAATGTGGACCAATGAGAGAGATTGCTTGGAAGGCAAGCAACCACAAAGTGTGGTGCTTGGTGATTGGTTGGTTCCTAGGACCAAGGGCCATTTGGTTGGAATAGTGCCAACCAAATGTCTAGGACCAAATCCAATCTTGACCAACCCAAATGTGGGGTTGGTCAACCCAACCAACAACCCCCCAATATTTATAATGACTACACCTCCTAATCTAGGCATGCATGTTGTATAGATATATATTTTACAACACAACCCCCCAACATGCATAAGACTAGAGGGCTTGAATCAGGAGGTGGACGAGGGAACAGGGGGAGCGAGTCCAAGAAGGCGAAGGAGGGATGAGTGGGCGGCGTGGGGGAGGGCTTTGGTGAAGATGTCGGCAGGATTGGCAGCAGAGTCAATCTTGCCCAGTTGGAGGTGGCCACCCTGCACAAGCTCGCGAATGAAGTAGTGGCGAAGCTCAATGTGCTTGGAGCGCCCGTGGAACACGGCATCCTTCGTGAGGTGGATGGTGCTGGCGTTGTCGCACCAGATGGTGGGAGAGCGCTAAGGGGCACCAAGCTCCTCAAGAAGGAAGGAGAGCCAGCGGGCCTCCTGCGCAGCCATGGTAGCGGCATACAGCTCCGCTTCGCAAGAGGAGAGGGCAATGGAGGAGGAGCGGATGGAGCGCCAGCTGATGAGGCCACTGCCAAGAGAGAAGGGGCGGTCAGGCTTAGAGTCAGCCCAGGAGGAATCAGAGTAGCCAGTGAGGAGGGGAGGGGCCGCCAAGGGTAAGGACGTAGTCCTTGGTCCCCCGAAGGTAGCGGAGGACACGCTTTGCCGCTTGCCAATGGGCGGCATCATGCTTGCCGGTACCAACGAAGCGGGCCAAAACGCTGATGGGGTATGTCAGGTCAGGGCGGGTGGAGACCATGGCATACATGAGAGAGCCGATGAGCTCAGCGTAGGGATGGGAGGAGGAGGAGGGGGAGGTGAGGGGAGTGAGGTGGTGCCCAACAGGAAGAGGGGTGACCTGAGGGGTGCCTCGAGCCATGTCGAACCGCTCCAGGACCTGGTGCAGGTGGCCCTGGGAGAGGGAGATGGTGCGAGCAGCACGGTCGCGGGTAATCTCCATGCCGAGATAGTGCTGCAGCTCTCCTAGATCCTTACACTTGAGCCAGCCGCCAAGCTCACGCTTGACGCGCTCGAGCTCGGCGGAGTCGGCAGTGATGAGGATCATATCGTCGACATAGACGAGGATGTAGAAGGGGGAGGGGGAGGTGCGGAGGAAGAGGCTGGGGTCGGCGCGGGAGGTGCTGAAGCCAAGCTCGGCGAGGGTGGCAGCAAGCTTGGCATGCCACTCCCTTGGTGCCTGCTTGAGCCCATAGACTGGTCGACGCAGCTGCCAGACAGAGTCGGAAGGAAAGGGGAGGTGGAAGCCTGCAGGACGCTCCATGTAAATGAGCTCGCGCAAGACCCCTTGGAGGAATGCGTTAGAGACGTCCATGGAGTGAATCTCCATGTTGAGGCGAGCTGCGAGGTCGAGGACTGTGCGAATGGTAGCGGGCTTGGCGGTGGGAGAGAAGGTGTCGAAGAAGTCGACAGCGTAGCGCTGGGTGAAGCCTTTGGCGACGTAGCGGGCCTTGTAGACCGGCGGCTCGCCAGGAAGCTGCTTCACCCGAAACACCCACTTCCCTTTGACCACGTTCGTGGTAGAGGGAGGGCGAGGCACATCCACAAAGGAGGAGTTGGCAATAAACGCCTCCAACTCCTTGAGGATGGCCGCGAGCCAGAGGTGAGCGTCAGGGCACGCCATGGCCTCCTCGTACGTGGCGGGGACGAAGATGGTGGGGGCGGAGGAGAAGGCGAAGACTGGTGTGCCGCTGAGGTCAGGGGAGATGGGTAGGAGGGCTGGATCATGCAGGTGGAGGTTGAGGAACTCCTCATGGGAGTCCTCGAGGAGGGAGGAGTGGAAAATGAATGGGAGGACTGCAACTGCTGCGGCTGCTGCTGCTAAGGATGCATCTGCTGCTGAGGCGGCTGCTACTGCTGCATCTGCTGCCGCCGCTGCTGCTGCTGCGGGTGAAGGCGAGGAAGGAGCGACGGCTGCTGCTGCTGCTGGTGATGCTGCTGGTGCTGCTGCGGTGGGTGGAACTGCTGCTGCAGCTGTTGCTGCTGCTGTTGGGACTGCTGTACTGGAGCTCGACGGCAGGGTTGGGCTAGTGTTTTGTTGTAAGACTGTCTGTAAAAGGAGGTCCATGAGAGGGGAGAGAGGAGGCAAGGTAGAGGAAGAGAGGATAACAGGAGGCGGGGTACCTAGGACTGCGTCACGCGACCTGGTGTGGGGATACCGGGTGAGGATGGAGCGGGTGGGACGCAGGGGGGGAGGGGGTCGCGGGGGAGAGGGGGGAGGAGGGGAGGGGGGAGGATGGGAGAGAGCGGAGGGGGAGGAGTGGGACGGGGAGGCGGGGGGAAAAAAGGGTCAGGGTCAAATATGTCACCAGAGGAGGGAGGAGCACTAGGGATCGAGGCAGCGGGGAATGGAGGAGGTGGAGCGGGGGGGAGGATGGGAGGGGGAGGGAGAAGAGGGGGTGGGATAGTGTCGGACCACGTGAGGGGCCTGGGAGCAGGGGCGAGAGGGTCAGTGGGGGGAGGAGTGGAATAGTAGGGTGTGGACTCATCAAAGACTACAACCCGACTGCGGAGGAAACGACCTGAGGGGGGGTGAAGGAAGAGGTAGTCCGTGGAGGAGGGATTATGACCAAGGAAGATGCAGGGGAGGGTACGGGAGGCGAGCTTTCCCATGGTGCGGGGGCGGTCCGCAGGGTGAATGAGGACATACGCCCTGGAGCCCCACACACGGAGGGAGGAGACGTCAGGCTTGGCCGACGTCCAGAGCTCGGTGGGAGTGGTGGAGGGAAGGATAGGGTGGGGGTATAGGTTAGTAAGGAGGGTTGCGTGAAGGAGGGCATAGCCCCAGAGAGAAGGGGGGCAAGAGGCATGGACGAGGAGACACCGAGCAATCTTGGTGATCTCCCGAACACGGCTCTCGGCCACACCATTCTGCTGGGGGGAGTGGGGGAGGGTGTGAGTCTGGCGAATGCCATGAAGCTCACAGTAGGAGGCTACCTGTCGATTAAGGAATTCGCCACCGCCATCAGAGTGAAGGCGGCGCACAGGGCGGCCAAAGTGGGTGCTTGCCTGCTTGAGCCACGCGATGATCGCAGCCGGAGCGTCACCCTTCGAGCGAAGAAGGGAGACGGACGAATATCGGCTGTGATCATCGACCAGAACAAGCATGTAGCGATGGCCCTGGCGGGAAGGGGAGGGGTTGGGGCCCCAGAGGTCCATGTGAACAAGATCAAGCGGCTAAGCAGCAGCGGAGGGGGAACTCCGATGCGGCAGCTTCTTGAGCTTGCTCTGGACACAGACGGAGCAGGGAGGGGCAAGGGAGGGAGGGAGGGGAGGGAGGGTGAGGGGAAGACCTCGAAGGAGACCTGAGGAGACGGTCGAGCGGAGGGTGGCAAAGTTGGGGTGACCAAGCCTGTGGTGGAGGAGGACGGTGGGATGGGAGAGGGATCGACAGGAGCAGGTTGGGTCAGGCGGGAGGGGGGGAATGGTTGGGTTAGAAGGAGGGAGAGGAGGGGGAGGGATGTGAGGTGGGGGGAGGGAGCGGGAGACTGCCTGGGCAGAGGGAAGATGAGGAACTCGAAGGGTATATAGGCGGGAGCGAGGACAAAAGGGAATACGGGAGAGGAGGCGATCTGTGGGATGGTATAGGAGGCAGTGATTAGCGCGACCTGGGAAGACGGTGGTGATACCAGCCCGCTGAAGGGATCGCTGGGAGAGGAGGTTAGTACGGAGGGAGGGGATGTGTAAACCAGTGACGGTACCTGAGGGGAAGAGGGGACAGGGGAGGGTAGAGGTGTGGCGACAGGGAATAGAGAAGCTGGAATCGGCACCAAGGAGGGAGGTGGGGGCTGGGAGGGGGTGAAGGGTACCAGCATCACGAAGGACGGACTCGGTGGCTCCACTGTCAAGGACAAAGTCCAGCGTGGTGGAGGGGGGAGGATGTGGGGGAGGAGGTGGGACGGAGTACTGAATCACATTCTCATTAATAGCAGCCGAATACATAGAAGGGGCGGGGGTTCCAGCCTGACTAACCATGCCAACAAAACCAGAGGAGGGGAAAGGAGTCACACTGCCTGTGGCTGAGGGCGCGGGAGACGCGCCCGAGAGGTGAGCTGCGGAAGCGGCGGTGCCGGCGGTCCAAGCGGGGTAGGGCTGCTGGGGGGGAGCCATAGGAGGAGGTGCAAGGGGGAGCTGCGACTGGAGGTCAAGCTGCTGCTGGAGCTGCTGGAGCTGCTGCTGCAACTGGGAGAAGAGGTGCTGCTGCCCCTGCTACTGCTGCTGCTGGAACTGCTGCTGCTGCTGCTGCTGCTGAAACGGCTGCAGTAGGATCTGCTGCGGAGTCTGCTGCTGCTGCTGTTGCTGAGAGACGGCCTGGTGGGCCAAGGGGGAGGAGACGGGCTGGAAAAGAGGGGAGGTACGAACCTCTTGAGGAGTGGGGCGAGGGAAGAGGGAGGACCAGCGGGGGGGGGTGCCGGTGTTGCCGCGGGCAAACCACTCATCACTGAGCGCTTTGAAGCAAGAGTCAGTGGCATGAGTGGTCTGGCCGCAGCGCTGACCCTGCGTGGGAGATACTGACAAGGAGGAAAGGCGGCTGCTGCACCACGTCCTGCGCCGTTGCCACCACGACCCGCACCACCACCACGACCAGCGCCACGCCCACCCCCGCGCCCTCCCCTGGTGTTGCGCTGCTGAGCAACAGCGGCAGTTGAGGAGGAATGGCGCAAGAGGTCGGCTTTGGTGGTGATAATCCACTGGGCGACTTCAGCTGGGGTGATGCGCTTGTCGATCAGCTGCATGTAGGCGATCTTATGGGTGTCGAAGGCAGGAGTTAAGCCTTCAAGGAGGTGGCAGCAGAGCACTGGGTCCGGGTACGGCACGCCAAGAGCCGCCAGGCGCCGAGCGAGGTCCAGGACGCGACGCGTGAAGGCAGCTGCGCCGGTGGTAGAGTCCATGGTGAGGCTCTGGAACTCCTTGATGAGGGAGTAGAGGGTGGCAACGTCCTGCCGATCATAGAGATCGGTGAGGAGGCGCCAGAGGTGGGAGGAGGAAGTGGGAGCAAGCTCGCGCTTGAGGGTGGGAGGAATGGTGGCGAGGAGGACGGTGAGCGCGCGCCGGTCAGCGACACGCCAGGCGGCGAGGTCGGTGATGTATGCGCGCTCGCGCCTGACGTACTCCGCGAGCTCCGCCTAATACGTGTTGTAGGCGGCAGTGGCGGCGTCATGCTCGGCGCGGGAAGCCTCGAAGAGCAGCTGCTGGCGGACGTGGTCGGTGAGGCCGGCACGGTAGGTGCGAATGGCGGTCTCGGAGCTCTGAGGGTCGTTGACGTCAGGGGCGAAGGTTGGAGGATCGCCAGGGCTGACGGGAGTATCGCCAGGAGGAGGAGGTGCAGGGCCCGCGGGAGCAGTCGGCTGGGCAGGCTGAAGACCGCGCTCCTCGAGATGGACAACGGCTTTCAGGTTGTAGCCGTTGACCGTCACCGAGGAGAGAAGCACCGTGACGGTTTGGGCATAGGAATGCCAATTGACCGCGGTGTTGTCGGGCAGCAGCTCAAGAGCGTCGACGGAGGTAAGGTCCACCGAGGAATCGGACGCCATTGAGGAGGAGGAGGGGAAGGAAGGGGGGGGGGGGGGGGAGGAGGAGAAGGAAAGGAGGAGGAAAGGAAAGGAGGAGGAGAAGGGGGAGGGAGGAGAAGGATAGGTGCGCGAAGCGCAGCTCTTAAGTCGCCGAAGGCGGAAGCGACGACGGACAGCCGCACACGACGGCGGCGAAATCGGCGACGGCTGCGGCGGCGAGCACGTTCGCGATGGACGGATTCGTCGGCGGGTGCACGCGAGTGCCGCGACGAACAGGTGCGTGGTGTGAGAGCGCGACGAACAGGTGCGTGGTGTGAGAGCGCGACGAACGGGTGCGCGCGGTGGCGGAGGGCGCACGACGGGAGGACGCGGCGACGAACCGCGCGAGGAGGAAAAGGGCGTCGAAAGACGCGAGGGGAGGTGAGCAACGGAAGGGAGAGCGGGCGCGATAGGAGGCGCGCGACGGGAGAGAGAGTGTGCGCGATGGGACATCGCGTCGGGAGTGGGCCCACGGACGGCGCGCGAAATAGCCTAAGAAGGGCTAGGCTTTGATGACGAGGAGGGACGGCATAGGGCCGTGCTAGTTAGGATCGACTAGAGGTGGCGTGAGCCATTGTGGCCCTGAATACCATGAAGGAAATAACTTGGAAGAGAAAAGATTGATTGAGTAGGGAGCCAAGAGGCTCTTTTGTACAAAACACGTAGCAAGGAAGAGTTGGAAGGGAAGCTCTCCTATTGGCCATAAAGTGGACCAATGGGAGAGGTTGCTTGTAGGGCAAGCAACCACAAAGTGTGGTGCTCTCTGATTGGCCACAATGTGGACCAATGAGAGAGATTGCTTGGAAGGCAAGCAACCACAAAGTGTGGTGCTTGGTGATTGGTTGGTTCCTAGGACCAAGGGCCATTTGGTTGGAATAGTGCCAACCAAATGTCTAGGACCAAATCCAATCTTGACCAACCCAAATGTGGGGTTGGTCAACCCAACCAACAACCCCCCAATATTTATAATGACTACACCTCCTAATCTAGGCATGCATGTTGTATAGATATATATTTTACAACAGAGACTACATGCTGGAGGGCACACTGAGACTGCATGCTGGAGGGCACACTGCGACTGCATGCTGGAGGGCACACTGAGACTGCATGCTGGAGGGCAGACACTGAGACTGCATGCTGGAGGGCAGACTGAGACTGTATGCTGGAGGGCAGACTGAAACTGCATGCTGGAGGGCAGACACTAAGACTGCATGCTGGAGGGCAGACACTAAGACTACATGCTGGAAGGCAGACACTGAGACTGCATGCTGGAGGGCAGACACTGCGACTGCATGCTGGAGAGCACACTGAGACTGCATGCTGGAGGGCACACTGCGACTGCATGCTGGAGGGCACACTGCGACTGCATGCTGGAGGGCACACTGCGACTGCATGTTCGAGGGGACACTGAGACTGCATGCTGGAGGGCACACTGAGACTGCATGCTGGAGGGCACACTGAGACTGCATGCTGGAGGGCACACTGAGACTGCATGCTGGAGGGCACACTGAGACTGCATGCTGGAGGGCACACTGCGACTGCATGCTGGAGGGCACACTGAGAGTGCATGCTGGAGGGCACACTGAGACTGCATGCTGGAGGGCACACTGCGACTGCATGCTGGAGGGCACACTGAGACTGCATGCTGGAGGGCACACTGAGAGTGCATGCTGGAGGGCACACTGAGACTGCATGCTGGAGGGCACACTGAGACTGCATGCTGGAGGGCACACTGAGAGTGCATGCTGGAGGGCACACTGAGAGTGCATGCTGGAGGGCACACTGCGACTGCATGCTGGAGGGCACACTGAGACTGCATGCTGGAGGGCACACTGAGAGTGCATGCTGGAGGGCACACTGAGACTGCATGCTGGAGGGCACACTGAGACTGCATGCTGGAGGGCACACTGAGAGTGCATGCTGGAGGGCACACTGAGACTGCATGCTGGAGGGCACACTGCGACTGCATGCTGGAGGGCACACTGAGACTGCATGCTGGAGGGCACACTGAGAGTGCATGCTGGAGGGCACACTGAGAGTGCATGCTGGAGGGCACACTGAGACTGCATGCTGGAGGGCACACTGAGAGTGCATGCTGGAGGGCACACTGAGACTGCATGCTGGAGGGCACACTGCGACTGCATGCTGGAGGGCACACTGAGACTGCATGCTGGAGGGCACACTGAGACTGCTTGCTGGTTTTACTCAACATTGGGAGCACATGCTGACATGGAGTTAACTGAAGTTGGCTGCTGCTGACCAAGGTTGACGGAAAGTGACTGCGATTGGCTGAGTTTAGCTTAGGCGGACAGGCCTTGTCTAATTTTTACTGCATGGAAGTGTTATTTCTGGCATTGACTGAGGTTGATTGACTAAGGGAGTGCAGACTGACAGGTAGGAAGCAAGAACTGAAACTGTCTGACATTGAGACAACTTGACAGACTGCATACTGACCGGAAGGGGGTGGCATCGCCATCAGAGGCCACGCTGCATGCAGGAGACCACGGCTGCAGCCTGCTGCCTGCACCTGCTGGCGTGACACCGGCAGTAGGTGTGGCTGCAGACGGCGTGAAATAAGCTGGTGACTTGGCACCAGGTGTATATGCTGCCGTTCCTCCAGGTGTTTCGCCAGGTATCCCTCCAGGTGTTTCGCCAGGTATCCCTCCAGGTGTTTCGCCAGGTATCCCTCCAGGTGTTTCTCCAGGTGTCCCCTGATGCAGCACGAGAGCACTACTGGCAGCCGAAAGCGGCCTACTGCCCCCCCGCTCCTCCTCCTCCACCCCTGCTTGCTCCAGCGCCCACTGCAGGTTCTTCTGTACGCTGCCCTCATCCCCCACCCCGTACCCTCGCCCGCCCACCCCCTGTGCTGTGAAAAACGCAGAGCCAGAGGAGGGCGCGGCAGCAGCAGCAGGGGTGAACGACAGCGGGCTTGGGCCTGGTAGGAGCTTCTGTGGTGCGCCACTCGACAGCCCGTAACCAGCAGCACCTGCAACAGCCCCAGCAGCCGCAGAGGCAAAGAGGGGCGGGGACGCGGGCCACGCGAGCTGCAGCTTGAGGCGGCTCTCAATCTCCTTCAGTTTCTCCTCCGCCTCCCCCCTCCTCCTCTCCGCCTCCCCCCTCCTCCTCTGCTCCTCCTCCATCTCTCTCAATGCCTTCTCCCTCTCCCCCACCGCCCTCTCCACCTCCCTCCCCACGCGCGCCACCTCCCCTTCCAGCCGCGCCACCTCCCCCCGCCACCGCGCCCTCTCCTCCTCCGCCTGCCTCTCTCGTTCCGCCAGGGCAGCAGCGGCGTGAGTAGCAGCACGGCCGCCCTCCGCTCTGGTGGCTTCCAGCTGCTGGAGCACTGCTCGCACTCGCTCCTCGCCTTGCTGCTGCTCGCGCACCATCGCCTGCTGCCCCGCCTCCACCTGCTGCTGCAACCCGTACACCTCCCCTTGCAAATCATTCACATGCCCCTGTAACCCATGCACCTGCCCTTGCAGCTCCTGCGCCCGCCCTTCCAGTGCGCTCGCATGCCCTTCTAGCTCACCCACCTGCGCCTGCAATCGCCCCGCCTCGTCGTCCTTCATCCCAACCTCCTCCTCCAGCTCGCTCACCTCCCCTCTCAACCCCCGCACCTCTCCTTGCAGCCCATCCACCACCTGCTGCCGCCGCTCTATCTCCCGCACCAGCTCGTCCCGCTCCCTCGCCGCTGCCTCCTCCGCCTTCCCCCGCTGGCACTCCAGCATCTGCGCCCACTCCTCCGCCGCCCGCCTCTCCTCCTCCTCCTGCCGCCTCTCCCTCTCCAGCACTCTCCCCACTGCCTCTGCCCACCCCTCGCTCTGCCCCAACGCTTCCCCCACAACCAGCAGCTCCAGCTCTCCCCCTGCCACCGCATGCCTGAGAGACACCACCTTCTCCTCAAGGGAGAGCAGCGCGCCCTCCTCCACGCGCTTCAGCGCCTGCAGCCCGATGAACGCCTCCAGGTCCCGCGCTCTCGCCTCCTGCTCCCACCCCGCCGTGCCCTCCCGCTCCTCCTCCCTCCTCCCGCCGCCCTCCCTGCTCTCGCCTTTCCTCCCATCATCGTCCCACCTCTCATCCTTTCTCTCACCACCCCCCGCACTCTCCTCCTTTCTCCCATCACCATCCCTCCTCGCCTCCCCTCCCTCCCCGTCCTCCGTCCTCTCCTCCCTTCTCTCCCCACCCTCGCCCATTCCATCAGCGCCCCCTCTCCCTCTCCCCGCCACTCTCTCACCCATCCCCCCATCGCCTCGCCCCACCATCCTCGCCTCTGCTGCTTCCAGAGCCACCTGCAGCACCAGCGCCTGCAGCTGCAGACACAGCACTGACTCCTCCCTCCCCTCTTCTCCACCCTTGCTCCCCACTCCCCCCCTTCCCGCACCCTCCAACCCTGCACCCCCTCCTTCCACCGTCTCCCCTCCCACACCCTCCCTTCCCTCCTCCCTCTCCCCTGCCACCCGTACCCCTTGCCGGACCTCTCCCCGAGCCTCTTCCAGGGCTGTCCGAGCCTCTGCCAAATCAGCCAAGTACTTCCGAAGCTGAGCTGCTTGCTCCTCCCTCACTCGCCTCTCCTCCCTCCAAGCCTCCTCCATACCCCGAACCACCTCCTCCAGCACCGCCACCTGCACCCCCTCCCCCACCACACTCCCCACCGCAGCCCTCGCCACGCCACCAGCCTTCGCCAGGTGGCAGGCCGCTTCGCACGACAGCTGGCGCCGGCGCTTCCCGAGCAGGCTGACAGCTGTCGAGATGGAGCGCAGCTGCTGAGTCAGCGTCTCTCGGAGCTGACTCAGCCGGTGCTGACGGCTCTCTGCAACTACCGCCGCTGCTTCCCACTCCTGCCTCTCCTTCTCCACCCTGCCTCGGCTCCTCTCTATCCCTTCCAACCGCAGGGAAGCGTCTGCTTCTTCGGCAATCTCACTCAACCGACTGAAAGCCTGGAAATAACCCAGCAGCTGCTGCGGAACAAGACTTGTACTTTCTCCTGCCTCAATTGGTGCCTCTGTCCCTGTCCCTGTGACGGCACTTGCACTCGCACCAGCACCTGCAATGTCACCAGCACCTGCAATGGCACCAGCACCTGTATCCGTACTTCTCCCGCTGTCCCCCACACCCTGGAACGCATCTCCCACTTCACGCCACCACGCTCTATCCCTCTCCACCGCTTGCAACTCCTCCTCTACCGCCCCGCACACATTCGCCATCTCACCCGCCGCTTGCTCAACCACCTCCTGCCACTCCCCCTCCCCATCCTCCTCTCTCTCCCTATGCTCCTCCCTCTCCCCCTCTTCCAGCCCTTGCCCCTGGCGCTGCCCCTCGCCTTCGTGGTGCGTGAGCGTCCGCCCGGTGCCCTTCCCTCTCTCCTTTTCCAGCTCCTCCACGTGCTGCTGCAGCGTCTCCACCTCCCGCTCCAGACTCGTTATTATCACACTCAGCTTACTCATCTCCTCCTTGGCCCGCTCAAGTGCCCCCTCTGCCTCTCTCACCTGTGTCCCTGCGCACGCTGCTGCTTCCAGCGCAGCCTCACGCGCTCTACTCTCTCGCTCCGCCTCCTCCCGTGCTTGCGCCAACTCCCCCCTCACTCTCTCTACCTCCGCACTCAATTCCCCCTCCCTCTCTCTAAGTCTCTCCACCTGCCCCTCCAGCATCCCCCTCTCCCGCTCGTGCTCCCTCCTCCTCTCCTCCTCCTCGTCCTCCCACCCGTCGATCACCACCTGCCAGTTCTGCCTCACGCCCTCCAGCTCCTCCTCCTTCTCCCTCACCTTCCCTCTCAGCCCCCTCACCTCCTCCCTCAAACCCCTCACCTCCTCTCGCAACCCCCTGGCCTCCTCTCTTAACCCCCTAGCCTCACGCTCACTCTCAACGGCGAACTCGCACAACCTTTCCTCCTTCTCCGCCACTGCGCTCAGCAGACTCGCCACCTTCTCCCTCTCCTCCCTTAAAGCCCTCTCCAAACCCTCTACCTTGTCCCGCTCCTCATCCGCCGCCACTTCCCACTCCTTCGCCGCCCGTTTCGACTCCTTCCAATACTGCTGCAACTCCTCCATCCTCTCTTTAAACACCTCCCTATCCTCCTCCGCCTCAACCACTCTCCTCCTCCACTCCTCCTCCACCTCCCCCGCCTTCCTCTTCCACTCGTCCGCCTCCTCTCTAGCAGCGTCCAGCTCGTGGTAGCTCCGGGCGATCTGTGTGACCGCGGCCTTGCTGGCCTGCACGCGCATCTCCAGCTCTGCGATGCGCTTGTTCTTGTTCAGCACCTCTAGATTCAGCACCTTCACCTTCACACTCGCGGATTCTGGTGATCCTTCCCCGGATGCACCCTCCCCGGGGTCCACCTCCCCGGATACACCCTTCCCAATTCCTCCTGGTGCTCCCAGCCTGGTCGCTTTACCCGTGCCAGGGGTGCCTGTCCCGGAATCCCCCGCTCCGCCTGCAGTAGCAGTTTCATCCACCCTCACAGCCACAGACCCACCAGAGCCTGCAACAGCAGCAGCAGCAGAAGCGGCGGCGGCGGCGGCAGCAGCAGCAGTGGCGGCAGCAGCAGGAGGGTGGGCAGATTCGGACTGCATGCAGCCAGCAGGCCCCGTCTCGTTGCTCTCATCGCCCTCAAAGCCAGCAACCTTGGCCTGCAGCCCTGTGAGTGCGGCCCTGAGCTCCTGCGCCTCGTGCTGGCGCCGCTCCGCCTTGCCCCGCCACACGTGCACCTCCCTCAGCGCCGCACTCAGCGCCTCCTCCACCTCCTCCACTCGCCGCGCCGCACACCGCCCCTCGTCCGCCAGCCAGCTGCTCTCCGCCCTGCTGCCTCCTGTCACTTCGCTCCCCTCTCCTGCTGCCCCACCCGCCGCTGCTCCTCCTCCTCCTCCCTGTGCTGTTGCAGTTGCTGTGTTGTCCGGTGCTGCTCTCGCCTTACATGCGACAGACCCGTCCTTTCTGGCTGCAGCGCCAGATGCCTCGTCATCCCCAGCATCGCCACCCCTCCTTTCCTCCGGCCCCTCCATCCCCCCCTCCGGCCCCTCTATCCCCCCCTCCGGCCCCTCTATCCCCCCCTCCGGCCCCTCCCTATCACCTTCTGATCCCCCAGCGCCCCTTAGCCTTCCGCCACCCCTCAGACGTCCGCCCGTGTCCCCCCCAAATCCGTGCGCCTCTGGCCGTCCGCCCTTCACGGCAGAGCCAGCGCCCTTCACGGCAGAGCTAGCGCCCTCCTCCACGGCGCCTGCCATGCCTCTCCTCCCTCCATCCCCCACGCTCCCGCAGCTCTCCTCCACCTCCTCCCTCCCGCCCCACCCTACCCCTCCCCCCTCCACCCCCCCATCCTCCTGCTCCTCCCCCTCTTCAGACCCTCCCTGCCCTCCCCCCCCTCCTCCCCCCCCTCGTCCTGCTCCCTGCCCTCCTCCCTGTTCTGTGCTCTCTCTCGCCACCACTTGCGCCATTTCCAGCAGCAACGCCACCCCATCCTCCTCCTCCACCTCCTCTCCCTCCTCCTCTCCCTCCTCCTCTCCCTCCTCCTCTCCCTCCTCCTCTCCCTCCTCCTCTCCCTCCTCCTCTCGCTCCTCCATCCTCCCCTCCACCTCCCCCTCCTCCTCCTCCCCTTCCCCACTCCCTGCTCTCACCCGAGGGATGATTCTCACACGTGCTCTTATCTCAGGTGACCTTAGCGAGGGTGACACGTCACCCTCCTCCGACACAGGCCCCTCACTTCCCTCACTGGAATACCCCTCGCTACTGTCACTCCCACCATGCCAAATCCCCCCATTACCCCCAAAGAACCTCCCTCCGCCTCCCCCTGCTGCCCTACCCGCCACCCTAGGCATGGGCGCAGCCCCAACTGAAGCTGGCCTTCGCTCCTTACTCCCTCCCGTCGTCTCTCCCCCGCCCCCCTCACTCCCCGCCCCTCCCCGCCCCACCACCCCTCCAGTGCTCCCCGGCCGCGCCACAAACGCGCGCCCAGTCAATTGCCCTGACGGCCACGCCTCTGCCAATCCCTTCCCAGACACCCTCGCCCCCCAAGGCGTGCTTGCTGCCACTCCCTCCCCTGATGGTCGCTTCTCCAATGACTCCTCCTCGTCCAGAAGCATTGACAGGCCTGCCCTCACAGCCTTGCTTCTTCCTGCTTCTGCTGCTTGGGTGGTGCTGGCTGCCCGTCCCCCGCACCTTGAGTGAACACCGACCTTCGCCCTGCCTTCCTCCTCTCTCCTGCTCTCCACCTCCTCCCCTTCCTCCTCCCCTTCCTCCTCCCCTTCCTCCTGCTCGTCCACCTCGTCTCGGGAACCATTGGCGGCCTTCCTCCGTCCCTCCCCCCTCCCCCTCTCAAGCGCCCTTACTCTCTCCCTCAGCACCTCCTGCGCCTCCTCCCTCTCCGCCACGTCAGCTTCCAGCTCAGCGATCTGCCTGTCACACGCACGCTTCACCTCCGCCAGCTCAGCCTTCACCGCCTCGCACCGCTGCTCCCGGCCACTGGATATTATTCTCTCACTAAACAGCTCCTGGTGAACAGCAGCTAATTCCTGCTGGGAGGCTGCTAGTCCCTGTTGGGTGCTTGCTAACTCCTGCTGCACGTTTGCTAGCTCCTTATGGGCAGCGGCTAGCTCCCCTTCCAACTCCTCCACCCTCCTCCCCTTCTCCCTCACCTCCGCTTCCAGCCGGCCAATCAGAGCCTCAGAAACTGCCAGCCTGGCAGCGCCCTCCTCCACCTGCCTATCCGCCTCTCTCAGCAGCTCTAAAAGCTTTTCCTCCCTCCCCTTCCCCTCCCTCCCCTTTCCGCCCTGCACCTTCCCTTCCCTCACATCCTCCCGCTCCCCTCTTCTCTCCCAAAGTCCCATCTCCTCCTCCCTCTCTTTCCTCTCCTCCCTCTCTCCCTCCGCCTCGTCAGCTCTCCTCCGCAGCACTCCCACATCCTCCTCTACCGCCCTCGCTCTCTCTTCCGCCTCCCTCGCCTTCTCCTCTACCGTCCTCGCTCTCTCCTCCAGCTGCCTCCTCTCAGCGTCCCAAGCAGCCTCCCTATCCGCCCACTCGCCCCACATCTCAGCCGCCTCCGCGGACTGCTGCTGCTGCTGCTCCATCACCCGTGCCTCCGCCTCTCCCCTCACCACCTCTGCAGCACCCGCCCTCGCCTCTGCAGCACCCGCCCTCGCCTCTGCTGCTCCCACCCTCGCTTCTGCTGCGCACGCCCTTGTCTCAGCTGCTTCCAACCTCGCCTCTGCCGCATCTGCCCTCGCCTCTGCCTTTCGAGCCCTCTCTGCGGCCTCCGATATCCTCGCCTCTGCTCCCACAACCCCAGCCTCCGCTGCTGCAGCTCTCAAGACTAACTCTTCATCCGTCGCCTCTGCCTGCTGCAGCGCCACTTCCACCACTCGCGCTTGCGCCTCTGCGGCTGCAGCTCTGCTCTTTTCCTCCAAGATTCTCCCCTCAAAAGCATCCGCAGCAGCAGCAGCAGCAGCGCCAACAGCAGCAGCCTTGTTGTCAGCCTCGGCCGCACATGCCTGGCACCACTCCTCCGCCTGCTGCAGCGCCACCTCCATCACCCGCACCTCCACAGCAGCTCGTATCTCTTCCTCCAATCCTCTCTCCTCGAAAGCACCAGCCTTCGCCTCAGCAGCAGCACCACTGCTGGCAGCAGCAGCCACGCGCGCCTGCCACGCGTCGTCTGCCTGCTGCAGCGCCCCTTGCATCGCGCGCACCTCTGCCTCCCGGGCCATCGTGCCCTCCCTTTCCCTCCTCCTCTCCTCCTGCAGCTCCTTCTCCCGTCCTTGCCACGTGTCAGCAGCCTGCTGGAACGCCACCTCTACTACCGCACCAATCACATCCCCCTTCATTGCCCACCCCTCTCTCTCCTCAGCTACAGCCGCTACAGCCGCGGCCCTGGCCTCTTCTGCCACATCTCTATCAGCTGCCTCTGCTCTCAACGCCTCCCCAGCAGCGCCCACTCGCGCCAACAGCGCGTGGCTGTCTGCTGCGCGTGTCTGCACCCAGCAGCGCCCGCCGCTCTTCAGCCGCTCCACCGCCGCCTCCTCCCCCTCCTCCTCCACCCCCCGGACCAACGCCGCCTCCAACTCCGCCTGCTTCTCGTCCTGCTCTTTCTTTTCCTTCTCCCCCTCCTCCTCCTCCTCCTCCTCCCCCTGCCCTTTCCCTCCCTCACCCGCGTGCTTCCACCTCCTCCTCTCCTCCTCCATCTGCAGCTCTTGCTCCTTCAGCAACCTTCTCAGCGCCTCTTCCCGTCCATGCCACGTGTCAGCTGCCTGTTGGAGGGCCACCTCTATGACTGTCCCAACCAGACCGTCCTTCATCTCCCTTACCTCCCTTTCCTCAGCTGCAGCCGCTACAGCCGCTACAGCTGGAACTGCTGCAGCCGCTGGCACTGCCTCCTCTACTCTCCTTGAAGTCTGGGTCCGATTCTCCTGCTCCTGCCGCTCTTGCTGTTGCTGCTGCTGCTGCTGCTGCTGCTGCTGCTGCTGCTCCACCTGTCGCCGCTGCCACACGTGAACGGCTTGCTCCAGGGCTATCTCGAGCACTTGCTGCTGCAGTGACGCCACAGCCGCATCCATCTCCTCAGCGTCTACCGCCACCCCTCCCTCCTCCTGCTCTTCTTTCGTCCGAACCTCCCACAACTGCTCTCCCATCTGCTCTCCCCTCTGCTCTGCCCTCTGCTCTTCCCTCCCCTGCCGCCTCTTGTCCCTCAGCACCCGCAGAGCTTCCGCCTTCTCCTCCTCCACCACTGCCACATGGTGCATCAGCGCTGCCAGCTCAGCATCGTGCTCGGCGCGTCTGTCAGCGTCCAACTGCGTCCACGTGGCATGCCAGCTGGCAGCCGCCTGCGCGACAGCAACCTCCACCACATCCGCCTGTAGCTGCTCTGTCGCCTGTAGCTGCTCTGCCGCCTGTAGCTGCTCTGCCGCCTGTAGCTGCTCTGCCGCCTGTAGCTGCTCTGCGACTGCATCAGATCCGGCCGAGAAGGCAGCAGCAGCAGCAGCACTGGCAGCAGGGAAAGTGTCTTCATCGCTTGCGCCGACCATCGCCGGTCTGCCTCCCTCCTTCTCCAGCTGCGCTGCTGCTGCCGCCACCTCCAATTCGAGCCCCTCTGGTCTCTCTGCAAGCACGTCTGGGCCCGAATCAGCTGGTCTGGGCGTCAGAGTGCGAATCTCCTGCGACGCCTCAGTTGCCACAGACGCGCCCACTGGGTGCTCGCCCCCACCCGATCCGGGCGCTGCTCTGTCCGCATCAGTGCTTTCGTTGGCGGCATGCGCGTCGGGTGGCGGGGAGGCGGATGGCGGGGAGGCGATCCATGCGCCCAGCAGGTCGAAGGTCAGCCAAGAGGTGGAGGGCGAGGGGGTAAGCCTAGCGGCCGAAGAGGTGGGCGCACCAGGCGAGGGGGTGACGGCAGAATGCGAGGGGGTAAGCGCGGCAGCGGGAACTCTCTCCGCGCTTGCAGGCGTCCCCGCTTGCGCCGATCCTGTCGTTGATCGAGCCGGCGACGGCGATGCGACTGAGTCTGTTGCACGTGGATCTGTCGCCTCGCGATCGGGTCCTACGACGTCGTCGGCCTCCGTCGCGTCGTTCAGCCACGACCGTGCGTCCATCTGAGCGTCTAATTCATCGCTCCCCGCGTCTAATTCATGCCTCTCCAAGTCTAATCGACAAATCGCAGCGCGAATCTCCGCGAATTCGCCCCCCGCATCCCCGTTTCCTCTAGCTACTGGACTGCCGCATAAGGTGTGCTGCACGGCTGCTAGCTGCTCCCGCTGCTGCTCCAACGACACCTCGAGAATCAGCTTCTGTAACTCTTTCGCTAACGCGACGTCGCCCGCCTCGCGCGACATCCTACGGCTGAACGGAACCCTCGCTAGGTGCTAGAGAAATAACTCATTCACGCCAGTTGAGCAGGTAACAGATGAGCCCGAGATCAGATTGGTCAAACGTTTTCCCCCACAAAGTTTGTATGTTGCCTGGATTTGTGATCTGGGCCGTCCATGCTGGATGGGAATTTGACGAACCAAGCGAGGTGGCGGACCGTGCTCCACTATGAGATTACACCTTTCACCCTCTATTGTCTCACCCGGAACAGTCCAAATTACAATCCCACCCACCAGGTTCTCAGCATGACTCGCGTTGACACTGAGCCTGATTGGCTGCAGTCTGAACGATAGCGAACAGCCAAGTCGTATTTCGATAATTGCGAGTGTCAAAGCTGGGACGTCGCGCAGGATCTAGTGCATGAGCGAGATTTTGTAACCGGGTGTCAGTGCTTACTGTGGTTTTCCCTTTCAAGGTCCCGTTTGACCGTGTTTTACCATTTCCTACTAACAGGATTAAGCTGCGTGTAAAAAACGTGAAACTAAATAACAGAAAAAGTGTACATTGCTTTCCGTCAGAATTGGAGTCGAGCATGTGATTGACGTTTACACATCACAATAATCATGTACAACAAATACTCAAATTACCAATACACTAAACATAAATATTTCCAGCTACTAGCCAGCCATATAGTAGATGCCGTTCAAAAAATTAGCTAGGTGGGTCAAAGGGAATGCCCTAAAAAACCACACACAACAAGCCACGAGTTTGCATTCACGTTTCACTTTTGCATCTTCAGGTAAAAGTCTTCACATACATGTTCACGTACATGTTGCTTCGGCATCTTCAGGAGTCTTGACAAACCTGCCTTTCACCCGCTGCCTCCCATCCGCCCTTGTCTTGCGGGACTCGTAACGTATCTTCTTCGCAAACCTGGAAAGGCCATCAAGGGAAGAAACGGGATGCATGAGAAATGAGAAGGCAAGAGATGGCTTAGCAGAGGCGGAAGAGCTGGTGGGTGGTAAAACCAGAACAGAACAGATGATGAGGAAAGGCAACAAGGGGGAAAGCAGCAGGGCAGAGTGGAGGAGGTGCTCACGTGCGGAGCAAAGGAAAGTTGCAGAGCAGAGATACTCACGTGCGGTGCTTCTTCTTCTCCATGTAGCGCATCACCGCCTCGTCCCTCGCAGCAGCAGCCGACACCGCCACCATGGTCGACAGCACAGTCCCCCCGGTCATAGGTCCCCCCATCACCCCCCCGCCTGCCCCCTGCATGCTCCGCGCCCGGCACAGCCACGGGTCGGCGAGGAACCCGTTGACCGAGTTGACCCCGCTGACTGAGCTGAGTCCGCTGAGAGCGTTGACTCCGGTGACTGTGTTGGCTGTGAGTGCATTCAGTGCGCTGGCCATGCTCATTGGGGTGCCGGGGTGGATCGCACCGCCACCAAACAGCACAGCCGCACCGGCAGGGCCGGTTCCTTCAGTGGCAGCGGACGCTTGGACAAAATCTGGCACTTCTGCTTTGACCTCCACAGCAGCGGGGTTTAGGGCAGCAGAAGCAGCAGCAGCGGCGGCAGCAGCAGCCGCCGCAGCGGCTGCGGCGATCGCTGAACCCGCTAGGCCTGTCATGGCCATGGCATCACCCTCACTTCCTCCTCTGCCTGTGTCTGGGGTCACAACTCCTCTGCTGCTGCTCTTCCCATCAATCATCATCTGCCCCTCCAGCGCCTGAAACAGAGCCAGCTCCCTCTCGTCCTGCCCAGCCTCCCCTGAAGGCCCGGCCAAACCTCCCACCGCACCTGCCAAGGAGCTGGACGCCGAAGCTGTGGACAAGGTTCGGATTGCGATGTTCGGCCACGCCACTCCATTCTTCCACGGTGCACAAGCGTTGGGCGCCTCTGAGCCAGCAACCATGCCTGCTGCGCTGCCGCTCGTCTCTCCCAGCACCCTCGCTAGCAGACGGTTCATGCCGGCCATGGCGGAGCCCGGGCGGGCGGCCAGCCAGACTGCTGCATCCTGGTCCAGAGGGGGAATGAGCGTGCCGGCTGGTGGAGTGCCGCCCATGGGCTGAACCGCACTGCCAGCAGCGGCCATGGCTATGAGGTCACCAGCACTGGCACCAGCAGCTTCCCCAGCCCCATTTTCCACCTGTGCCTTTCCCCCCTGTACCCCCCCCTGCTCCTCCTCTTCCGCCTCCGCCTCCTTCTCCTCCTCCTCCTGCTCCTCGACCTGTGTCTCCTGCCCCCTTGGCTCAGCATCCTCCGCCACTTCATCGTCTCTTTCCATTCCGCCCCCAAACCCACTGTTGTTCTCCTCAAAGGAAAAGATGTCCTCACATGACGACATCGACATACCCATACCCATCTCCATGCCCATACCCATGTCCATACCCATGCCCATCATTCCCAGCCCAATATCCATGCCCACGCCCCCCACCCTCCCTTCCTCCTCCCCTCCCTCCTCCCCATCCTCCTCCGCCCCCATCCCCCGCTCCAGGTTCTTCTCAGCCTCAGCAAAAATGGCGTCACCTATCCGTGAAACGAGAAGCTTCTTCTCTGCTTTCCTGTCTAGGGTTTTATCGTCAGCAAAATTGGAGCCTGAAGGGCACGCACAGTCAGCAGGGCACACAGCAGCAGAGCAGAACCCAGCACTGCCAGAACCACCAGCAACAGCAGCCACAGCAGCGGCAGGGTGCGCTGAATCCCCCCCCGCCACCACCTTGCGTTCGACTTGCCCGGTCCCTGCTACCTTTCCACGCACTGTGCTTCGCTCTTCAACCACTCCGCCACCAGCACCCGCCGCACCAGCAGAAGAGGCAACGACGAGCATTCTATGGGACACAGAAGGACACTGACCCAGGCTGGAAGGCGGCGCAGTGGTGTCAGAACCAACAAGGGGAGCAGGCGGGGGTGCGGCGGTTGCAGGGGCAGCACAAGCAAGAGCAGGCGCACGAGCCCTTAGAGTAGCAGCAATGGCGGCCATAGCAGGGGAGAAGGGGCTACCGGGAGGGGGGATGGGCAGGAAGAGGCTGGGACTGGCAGGCGGGCGAGAGGAAGGGGCGTGCAGGGGAGCTACGGGAAGGGCGGGGGGTGGGCCTGAGAAGGGGGGGAAGGGGGTGGTGGAGGCGGGAGGGGGGGTGAGTGGCTGTGGATGCTTCATCTGTGTGGTGCTTGGTGTGGGAGGCGATGGGAATTCCGCGACGCGTTCTACAGTCACTCCCTCCACAGTCACGCTGCTCTGGCCGAGGGCTGGGGAGGCGAAAGTGCTACTTTGCTTCGCAGCAGCAGCGACTCGCTTGCCACAACCACCGCCTGTGCCCCCGTCACCTCCGCCCTTGTCCTCGACCCTCCTCCCAAGCTTCTTACCATCCTCCACAGCCCAACTCGGCAACTGCTGCTGCTGCTGCTTCCGCTGCTGCTGGTGCACTGGCTTCTGAAACTGCAGCGTTCCCTCCTTGGGCAAATGCCTTCCAGTGGGGCTGTGCACGTCCGTGCCGTCCCCTTCCTCCCCCCGCTCCGTCCCCAGATCCCTCATCACCACTGGCGACCACGACTCCCTCCTCGCCCTCTCGCCTCCCTGCTCCTCCTCTGCAATCCCGACAGGCGGTGCCTGTGCGGACTCAGGCAGAGGCAGAGGCCAGGGGGCCGTGCGTGTGAGCTTGTGTCGCGGGGACACGAGAGGCGAGGCATTGGAGGCGTTGCTCAGTGAGCGTTTCCGAGCGAGGCGGGGCGACGTGAGGAAGGCGGACGACGCAGTGGCAAGAGCAGCCGGCGCAGAGTTGGGAATCCCTGCTGCGACAGGGCTGGCTGCACCACCCGCACTGCCTGCTGCAGCAGCTGCAGCGGATTCCGGAGCGATCATAGGGCTCTTGAGCCCCCTTGTGTCGTTGGCGCTCAGACGAACAGGCGGGAGGAGAGGGCTTGAACCGCACGCTCCCTGCGCCACCTGCTGCTGCTGCTGCTGCTGCTGCTGCTCCAGGCTCACCTGCTGGCCGTGCTCCGAGTTGCTGTGGTCGAAATGCATCTGCTTCTGCCACACCATCTCCATCTCCTGCTGCTGCCGCGTCCGCTGCCGCTCGTGCTCCACCTTCTGCTGCGACAGCAGCAGCTGCTGCTGCTGCCTGTGCCGCAGCGTGAGCATCTGCTGCTGTTGCTCCTGCAGCAGCACCAGCCGCTCCTGCTCCTCCACCTGCTGCTCCTCCTGCAGCACTTGCTGCTCCTCCTGCTGCTTCGCTATCGCCCTCTCCGCTAGCAGCCACTTCCCCTCAGACGCCTCCAGAGCTGACAGCTGTTTTTCCTGAGTCCGCAGCCACTGCTGTTGCTGCTGTAGCATCTGCCATTGCTGCTGCTGCTGCTGCTGCTGCGACTCCTGCTGCTGCTGCGACTGCTGCTGCTGCCACTGCTGCTGCGATTGCTGCTGCTGCTGATGCTGCTGCCAGTGCGGCTGCTGCTGCTGCTGCTGCTGTTGTCGCTGCAGCCATTGCTGCTCCTCCTGCTGCTGCAGCTGCCACTGCTGCTGCTGCTGCTGCTGCTGCTGCTGCTGCTGTTGCTGCTGATGCTGGAACAACTGAGCAGCATGCGCGGCCTGTGCGGCGGCGTTCATCGCCTGAGCGTGCGCCTGCATCTCCTTCGCCTGCATCTCCTTCGCCTGCTGCTCTTGCAGCTGCAGCCGCTGCTGCAGCTGCCGCTGCTCTTCAACCCCGAACATCACACCCATCTCCACACCCACACGCTGGCTCGAGATCCTCTCCCCTTGCCCGAGGCTCGGATCGAAGCTCTCGCCAAGGTTCGGGCGGGTCAAGAAATCACCGGGGATTGATTGGAGGAGTCCCAGGTTTGGATGCGCAGCAGCCGCCTGGCCGCCCGGGAAGAAGAAGCGGTTCGCTTGGGCCAGCTCAGCTTGTCTCTCCATCTCCGCCTTCTGAAGCGCTCCAGATGCGAACTGCTGCGCGCCTTGCTGCACGCCTTGCTGCATCCCTTGCTGCGCGCCTTGCTGCATGCCTTGCTGCGCGCCTTGCTGCATCCCTTGCTGCCCCGCAAAGCCGAAGCCCGTCGGGAAATGGGGAGGAAGCATCTGGGTTTGGTGATGCTGCTGCTGCTGCTGCTGTTGCTGCTGCTGCTGAAGAAGGGCGCGGCCCGTGCTGCTGTTGGGGGGAGATCTCGGGGAATAGGCCGGAGGAGACATGCGCGGCGGAGGCGGACAGGGGGAACCTCGTTGCGCGGAGAAGGACGAGCGCGCAGGCGAAGTCATCCCGGTTGCGCAGGTGCCGGAACGATCGTGCACGATGGATGCCTGTTAAAACAACGGAACGGTGGGGCGAGAACAGACGAAAGGGGAATGGTCGCGTCAAAGAAATCCCCGGAGCGCGCAATTTCACTTGACTATAGTCACTTCGCATAAACGAACGACATGAAAGCAGCAAGTCTCAATTCGCGTCCACGCCCCGTAGCCAAACAGGGCCAACACACCCATCCACGCCGCGCCTATAATCGTATCTCACCTTGACTTGTCTCGGGCTTTCCGCCAAGGCCACTGCGCTCCCTGCCCTCGCAGACTCGGGGAACCCCGATTGCGACACGTCGACCTGCCCGACAGCCGCCGCCAAACCGTGCGACAGGCTCCCCTGGGTGACCGCATAGATCATCTCCGCATCTCCCGCCGTCGTCACCGCTGCCGACGTCACAACGGTGCTCGCTGGGAGCAATTCCACCGACGTGCTGCTCGATATGGCTCGTCTCGCCGGCATCACTCTCGCCATAGCGCTCGTTGCTCCTGCTGCTGCACCGGCTCCTGCCGCTCCGCGTGCGCCCGCCGTTCCGCTTAGCCCCGCCGCCCCCCACTGCTTCCGTGGCACCGACGCGCAGACTGTAGCGGTGCTGGGCTCAGGCGCAGCGGGCTTGGAGAGCGACGGGTGCTGGACGGAGCTGGTGAGACTCATGGTCGCCGCTGGGGTTACCAACGGACGAGAGCTCTTCACGGACCGGGAGCTTATCCTCGTTTCGCGGTCAGAGTTTGGCGACGGCAGCGCGTCGTCGTGCGATAGCCGGGTCGTGTGCGACGCGATGAGCGACGTCGTCGCGCCTGTTGACGTGGAGCAGGCCGCGCGGGAATGCTTCTGATGAACCTGAAGGAGCGGCGGGGGTGGCTTCGCCAACTCGCAGCCCCAGAGCTGAGCGAGATCCGCGGCTGACGGGCAGCCCGTGAAATTTTCGAACGCATGTCGTCTGTGCAACTGCGAGGAGGATAATTTGCCGTGAATGGCGCTGTCGCAGGCGATGCAGAGGGAGAGGTTTTCGTCGACGCAGCGAAACGCTGCCGGTTGGAGATTACAGCCGTCGCATAGTAGAGTTCGCTGATGTCGCAGAGATAGATTGTTAGCGGAGTGCACGATTCGATCGCAGGAGAGACAGAGCCTAGCGGAATCAGCGCGGCAGTAGACGGTGGCTCTTCCCTTCTCGCAATACTCGCAAGTGCTATCCATCTTAAAACGTGAAAACTAACCGTCGAAACTTAGCGCAAATGAGGTCAAAGTAACTTACAGGACCTAAGACACACGAATAGTGGAAAATTAGCCGGTAGATCCAAGGCAAACAGACCTTTACGAAAGCGGCCGAAGTCTAGGTAGATGTTACCAGCTAGAGCACAGTCTAGAGAGCTTGTGGATGTGAGAGCAGCAACTGCCAGAACGCACTGAGCCTCACCAATAACCCATTCAGCTGAAACCATGAAACCCCTTTCCCTACGCTAAGATGCCTGCCCCGCCTTGCAGCTGCCTCACCTCCCCTCTTGCCTCAACACAACTGCCAGCGCGCGGAAGCCTTCCCCCGAGGCGGTCAATCGTTGCGCCGCTGGGTTGGGGTTCGGGAAAGAAGTCCCCTCGCCAGCGCAGGGGCGAAGAGGCTGGCATGGTCGCTCCCAGAAGACTTGCGCCTGCAATTCCAGTTCCGCCGTTCTGCTAGGTTTAGGCGGTTGGCGCGCGGCAATCCCAAGTCCTCGAGACTGGGGGGAGAGTTCCCCCTGAGGCACCCATCCGAACCGCCGCGTAGCTTCGCCTGACTTCCGTTTGCGGAGTTTCCCAACCTGTGACACTGCCGCGCTGGCGGGAACCGGGGAGGTGCTGTCATTCGCAGTGGTCAGATGAGATGAGGGGCAGAGGTGAAACATGCCCACCAGCGCAAGAAAGGGATATGGCTGACGCAGCGGTCCTGGAAAAGAGCGGCTGCTGACGAAAAGTGCCCAGGATGAGCAGCGCTGGATCGCGGTTGAGATGGTGCGGCAATATTTCTTATCCAGATATCTGCCCCTCTCCCGCACAACCACAAGATGATCTCCACGTGGAGGGCCACTTTGAAAAACGCTGCAACGCGCGCAGGCTACAGTGAAAGGAACTTCCGTTCCGCCACCAAACCCTAGACGCACTTTTTCGCTTTTCAGCGCTCAGCTCGGCACTTCCATATGCTGCACAGATGTGGGAGCAGCGGAGCATGCCACGTGGAAACAACTTGTGGCTTCTTCTTAGCTGTAAGATACGCTTTCTCAAGAGCCGTCAGCTTCGGCAAAGTACTTTTGATGAACCTGCCCCAGCCACAATTGCCATTCACCATGCTGACATCCTCGTGAGATGTCGAAGATGCTTCATGACGTAACCTGGCAAGTGCTGGAGGAAAAGCGCAAAAGTTCCGCCAACTCATATGTAGGGCTGCCACAGACAGCACACTAGTGAGTCAGCCAAGTGGATACTTTTTACAAAGCTGTTAATCTCACACATCTGAATTAGTTACCCTCTTCATTTCTGACCTGGAGGGTGCTTCAACATGGAAACTGGATTTAACGAGTATGGATGGAGGTGTTGCCCCAACATGTATGCAAACCCCCCCTCCCAGCTTTCCCTGGTCTTAAACCCTCCATTGCATTTCAAAGGATGTAACATCGAGTTCTGGAGTTCGACCAACTCCGAAGTTGGTCCACGCGATTCGAGATGTCCCAAAACACATTGCAGTGTCAGACCGCGCGGCTTGAATTTTGGCTAACGTGAACATGTCCGTGCTGAAAGAATTCGACAGGTGGTGCAGGAGACTAAGTATAGAATCTGCAACCACATGTACTTAACCAAGGATCTTTGTTGGAATGGTAGACTAGTAAGACAGCGGAAGTCTTATCAGAGTGAACCTGAGCACATGAACTTGTGGGTAGTCGAATGTTGAATAACCTGAGCACATAATTCGGTGGAAAGTCAAGGTTAATTATAGAAAGGCATTACAACGATTTATAGCTCTAGAGAAAGTACCTGTTCGGCTAGTTGCGCGCTATGCGACCTATTCGTCATACTATAGAATCGCGACTGTTTGCGTGGTTGAAGCGACTCGTTACGCCTATTCGCGTAACTGAAGCGGTATGCTGACGTCATCAAACAGACGTGCGATGCTTTGCTGACATCAGCACTCGGGCATGATTACTTACTGAGAAACTCGAGACTGCTAACTACACTGAAAACGGAACTTGCAGGAATGCAAAACTTCATTTATCACAACACTCCCCTTCATTCTTGGAAGTTCGATGTAGTCACGTCGTGGTTGGAGTCTGGCGAATGAAATCTGCAACTTGGAATCTTGTGACGTGTAAACTTCATGTGCTGTAAGTAGTCGGCGGATGAAATCTGCAACTTGGAATCTTGTGACATGTAAACTTCATGTGCTGTAAGTAGTCGGCGGTCATTCCATTGGTCAAATGGTAAACCTATCACGTTCTTTCCTTAATGATAACGAATTTTGTCTTTCACGAAGTGCGTGTAGATCCTCCTTCCCCCCCTCACTTCGGCAGAGGAAAAATGAGTCGTATTGTAAGTGATTGGGGTTGCTCCAATGAGCGGGGCAAGGTCGAAGGGTATGAATGCAAATCCACGAGAGTGTTGCACGTGGTGGAGAGGAGCCTCGATAACATTCGGAGGCGTGACAAAGAGCCGTGAAGTAATGGGCAGATCTGAGGGTGCAGTTTCAGACAGAAAAATATGTTGAGTCAGCAGTGCACGCAGCTGCTCACGTAGCTCGTGTAGGGTACTGTTCAACACTTCTGCTTCATTGCATTGTTGAACGCGATGACGAGGGGTTGGGTAGTAGTTGATGCCCATGCCTTGCTCGTAGTCGCTGGAGGTCGTAATGTGGTAAGCGGCTTCTCTCTAGTGTAGGAAAATTTGCAGCGGGGTACTGAGCTCGCTTGCTGCTATGGCCAGCCAAGCAAGAATCAAGAGCATGAAATATGAAGGTAGGAGAAACCTTGAGAGTGTATAACCTTTCTCTTGAAGACGGGTAGTTGAAGAATTGTCAGAAGTCTTGTCGAGAGTAGTTGTAGCGTCGAAGATTTTTTCAGGAGCGATTTGCAGTGTTTCCTCGTGTTCTTGACTAATATCTTCCTTGATATTAACGGCAAGTGTGTCGGCAAGGATGTCGGTAGTGCTGCTACTCGGATTTTCGTCTTCGCTGCTGCTGAGTTCAATCGGTGGAGTGGTAACCAAAGCTATTGCTGCGATGATGGTGGATGGAGCTTGAAGAGGAGCGGCATCTTCAGAAGGTGTTGCTGCCTTGAAGCGTAAAACGAATACGCTGTTTTTTGTTGATGCTCTTCCGATGTATGTGTTGTCCACATCATGTATTAACTCTTGCTCTTGTGTCGTGCAGTTTCCGACCGTGCGGATTTTCTTCTTCAAGAGTTGAAGAGTTGACACTAAATTGAAGCCAAGATTGTTGACAAGTAAAACATTGGTAAGGCGTAAGGAATTTCCCATGTCGATTGATGTCAACAGTAGACTGCCGATGTTTTCTGCTGCAATTGTTTGACCGTTGGCGAGTGTGATTGGGCAGGGTTGAAGAAGTCGACGACAGTTGTACATGAAAGGGTTGGTTGGAGAGACCATATGGTGGCCACAACAACTATCCAAGTAACAAGTGTCGGTATCTGTACTGCAATTGACAATGTGAGTGGATGAAGTAGGTAAACGAAAATTTGAAATTACCGTATTAGTGGCAGAGTTTGAATTAGTAGCTTTCGGCTTTGATGAGTTGCTTGAAGGGGCAGAACTGAGTGTCGTTGGTAGTGTTGATATTGCAGATGTTGCTTTTGGAGGCGCATGTTGCTGAAAGGACTGCTTCGAAGGCTAACGTAATTGCTGTGATGATTTCGACTGCTGCAGTTCCTCATGAGGTAAATACCTCTTCTTAAAATAGCACCGGTCAGTAGAATGTCCTCCCTTGTTGCAATTGTGACAAAAATATTGAGGACGTCGTGTTGGTGTTGAATAGAAACTGAGTTGTATATCTCCCTGTTTGTTGCGTCGTGACTGCAGCTCAAGATCTTGCTGTTCCGCTTGACGATACGACGAAATTTCAGCTTCGGAGAGGTTCGGGTTCATGCGCAAGAAGGCACGCGTTTGTCGCCATTCGGGTCCAAGGCCAGCAAGAAGGACCGTGAGATACATCTCACGAGAGAAGTATCCTCCACTCTTCTCCAGTTGATCTCGTAGTGTACGGACGCGATTGACGTAGTCCATAACATTTTCGTTTGTCATCATCTGCACACTTGTCAGTTGTGAAAGAATTTTCCTCACTATTTTTGTATCCTTTGCCATGTGTACCCCCTTCAAGTGGTTCCATGCAGTTTCAGCTGGTGTAAAGCTTGAATGATATGATCAAATGGTTTCGAACAAGAGCTGTATACGCCTCGAGAGAGGCGTGCAAGAAACTCTGCTGCTCCAGTTGTGTTCCCACAACAGGATATGTAAATTCGCCGGTGAAGAACGGCTGTGCTAGAAGCTCAAACTCAAAGCTCCAGGAGTAGAAGTCGACTCCGTTAAAAGGTAAAGTGGTTTTTATCTGTGTACTGTTAAGTAAATTTGGAGGCTGAAAAATAACACCCGACTGTTGGTGTTGTTGCTGTTGTTGTTGTTGCCGTTGCTGTTGTTGTTGTTGCCGTTGCTGTTGGAATGGCGGTGGCTGCTGATGATGCGGTTGTTGTTGCTGTTGTTGCTGAGCAGGGGAACGACCGAAGATGTAGAAAGGATGCTGAAACTGCTGCGACTGCGGCTGCTGTACAAAAGGTGAGAAAGCGAACGAACCAGTACTCGGAGCTGTGGCTCCATGCATATAACTTGAGCCATCAAGACTTATTCCACTGAACGCATATGAAATTGATTGCGTCGAAACTGGTGGCTGTACTAACGCTTGTTGCTTTGCTGTTGTCTGTGATTGTTGTTGTTGCGCTGCAGGTGCAGTCGAGGAAACACCTGGAGTATTAACAGAAGGCGGATTCTGCTGTTGCATCCCGATATGAGCATAGGCTGGTGGAAACGGCCCAGAGGCTGAGAGACCAGTGGCGGTCGTGGAGACATGTACTCCAGTAGTTCCGGAAGTTGATCCGGCAGACGGTGCTGGTGATGAACCAGACATTGTTGACAGTAGTCTTAATTCCAGATAGCTCTCATACCATGAAAGAATTCGACAGGTGGTGCAGGAGACCTGCAACCACAAGTATTTAACCAATGATCTTTGCTGGAATGGTAGACTAGTAAGACAGCGGAAGTCTTATCAGAGTGAACCTGAGCACATGAACTTGTGGGTAGTCGAAGGTTGAATAACCTGAGCACATAATTCTGTGGAAAGTCAAGGTTAATAATA